CCTCTCTCATCGATGAAAGCTTTAAGTGCTGTTTATCTGATGGTAACAGTTTTGGTGGTCTACCAGGTCTTGCACAGTTGTTTGGAGTTAAATTTTCTCTGTATTTTCACAGTTTTTAAGCCCAGTTTGAGTTTATCTTCGCTTCTAACTTTTTGTCTTCCTGGTGCAAGTGGATTATCTTGTATGTAATCTCAGAAATATCTCCTGGAAAATGAACAATAGCCAGAAATTTTGACTTGAGATCAAATAAATCAAAGGTGGCCCTGATATCTATATATCACTGTTGTCAGAGTGTCTCCAAAATGATAACTTTACAGGAGAAGGAAAAAACACACTTCACTTTTAATGTAAGTCAATGGAACCAGAATTTTTTTCAAGTAATTTCGGGCCACTTCTTTTGGTCCATTCGTCATGAGATTTACACACAATGTAAGGGGCAACATACATTGTGAAAACTGAAAAACGCCAAATGTGTGTGTGTGTGTGTGTGTGTATATATATATATATATATATATATATATATATATATATATATATATATATATGTAAGTAGGTGTGTGTGTGTGCCTATAAGTAGCTCACACTGGTGAGCTACTTACAGAAGGGTTCTCAGGGACCTGTTAGACCACTCTTTGAGGTAAAGTCAAACCCCTTCAGACTTAAGGGCCACTGAGAGAGTGGGCTATCAGTCATGGTGGGACTGGTGTGAATGATAATGAGATGAGACTTTTACACCAGAGACTTGGACTCAGTCACGTTTGCGACTTGTGACAAGAGTCGCTCTCGATGCCTTTTGCGGCTCTTCATGTTACATTTGTGGTCAGTGCATTTCAATGGCAAAGTGAGATATTAAGACAAATCACGAGTCTTTTTAGTGTGAGTCAAAGTTGGGCGTAAACTGAAGCAGGGCTGTCATGATTAGTCGATTAAACTCACTTACTCGTTTAAAAAGGTGTCAAGTAAAATTTACCCCCTCATATATTTAACACATGCACAGACGAGCGCACACACGGACATATAACAAGTCTTTCTAATTTTTTTGGAATCTCTGAAATCCTATGCATGGTTTAATATGATTCATCTCTATTACTGGACCTTACTCAATCGTCAAAATATTCAGCGCTTTACTGGAATACTGATCAGTAGTGACAACCCTAAACTGAAGTGCAGTTTTGCTCCTTGGTGCAAAAAGACAAAACATATTGTGCTCTGTGAGAGAATGCCCTGCACACAAGCCCAGCATATTCAATTATGAATGTGCCCCCCCTGCATGCTACAGCTATCCTACTGCTGGCAGACATCTAAGACTACATGATGCTCAATGCTATGCATTATATCAGCTGGGTGAACTGCAGCAGTCCCTTCTGCCACGCTTCAAATGCACTTGTAAACACGTAACGCACACCACGGTGCGACTGGGGGCTGGAGAGCTAAAGAAAAAGAGCAGGAATGAAGGGAAAATGCGCTGTTTTCCCAGGGAGGGCACGCTCTAGCCCCAAATAACCTTTCAAGTAAGTTGTGCCAGGCCATGTTCTCCAAAGATCAAAGCCCGAGGCTGGAGAACACGGGCCGTACCCATTAGATCCAGCCCAGCCTGGCCTGGCCACGCTCTCCCCCAGTCCTGCTCATCTAAACAACACTCTAGGTGCTGGAAGCTGGAACAAAGAACTTGTAACATAGCTATTAAACTTTAATTGTTTTTTTTCTTTTTCTCACTTTCTGGCTTTCTTTCTGGGGCCACGAGTTTCTGCGATGAATTCCTCTACATTGCATAAAAGCGTAATGCCGGCCTGATTTCCGTGGGCCTTTGTAGAATAAAAGATATATGTGTACAAAAAAGTAGGAACTCCCTGATGTTGGAGGTAGACAGTTGCTTTTCAAATCCTAGTTTTGGTCCTTTATTTTATTCAGCAGTGAAAAGCCATGAATACAGAAAATAATAACGCCTGTTACAATTCTCCATCATGATCTCTACTCTCGGCGAAAAACCTTAACGTATGGACACAGTACACGGTAATGAAAAGTATCAAAAATTAGTTAACCTTGATTCAAAGGAATATAACAGAAAAAGAAGGTATTCACCAATTACATAAACATGTTTTTGCTACTGTCCCAATTTACTGTATACATAGGGGATCATATTCCCGATCATTAAAGAATGATAGTAATAGAAACGATACATGACTCATCGGCCAGACATAATGCTCCATAACGTATGCACAGAGGTACAAGCAATAAATACACACATTAGGTAAAGCCTTACAGCTACGCAACGCAGATGCAGGAAAAAAGCAGGTTTGCTATTCTTAGCAAGCAATGTGAGAACAGTAAAAAGTCATGAAGTTCAGAAAAGAAACACTGATCTTTTAGCTTAGAAAAAAAATGTCTGGTAAATTCATGGGTCCACCAACATTTTTTTTTATCTTTTTACATAATATGCACAATTATCAAAATACAGACAAAATCATCATCCCAGAAAAAATCCAGACAATCCTAAATCTAGTGGAGGAGCAGATTGCTGATCTGGAGGTCTTTCTGGTATTATGTGCAAGCAACTATTTTAGACATTTTTTAAAATGTTTTTACAAAACCCATGCAAAATCTACAGGTAATATGCATTCTGTGGCTGAGAGTTCATTTTTTTTCCATCCTCCACCCCTCCCACCCCCCCCCAAAAAAAAACAGTATAGCTGAGGTATGCATATTATATGCATTGTACACTTAGGCCATCATCCTGATCTTTTTATTATATGCTTTTATTAACTCTTATTTCCAGTCCACCACATGAGTTTAGACATGCATTTTTAAAACACAATATCCCCTTACAGGTATATTTTTACATAACCATTCTACAAATGTTTCAGGACAACCTATTACAATGCAAAAACTTTCCATATCTGGCATTGGGAATGTAAACTGTCTGTTGGCAACGTCTTATTGAGTCAGGTGGAGACGTAATGTGACGGCTTTTGTAGCTTTCTAATAAGTCGTGCAATCTGCCATATTTGTTCAGAAATCGTCATCGTGAAGAGGTAGAACCTTTTAGAAAGCCTTTTTGGATAAGTGGGAGAACCCTTTTTTTTCCCCAAAAACGAAAGACGCTGCGTCCCTATATTTGGTGTGATAAAATTATTAACGTCTTCAAGTCAATTTGCTGACTCCAGCAAAGGATAAGGGATAAGCTTTGTTCCTGGATCCAGCTTCGTCTTTGAGCTGAACTGGTGTAAGAATCGTATTAGAGTGTGTGCGTATGTACGTATGTATGCACTGTGTGTGTGTGTGAGTGTTTGCGCTAAGCTAGCAGCCAACCCCTCGGTTTGGCACAACATTGGAGAGCGACGACTGCACAGTATGTTTCCATACGTACAAAGCAAACAAACTTTGACATTTCAGGTACGATACGTAGCATTATCGGTTTCAGACAGTTTTTGCTGTGTTGGTAGTTGACCAGAACGAGGACCAGGAAAGTCAGCAGACCAAAAAAAAGAACAACCAACCAAACAAAGAAACAAACAAGAAAAGGAGAACATTGCTGGACTGAGTGAGCCTTACAACAGCTTTGTGTGCTAGCATCTCTATCCCACACGAGAGGAGGCAGAATTTTGTGTAACTTTGGTTTGACTGAAAACAGAAATGACCTTTAAAGCAACAGCCACTTTTCTAGATGACATTAGCTATGATCAACACTCAAAACACTCAAAGACTATTCACATCTGCTTTGATACCTAATCTCGTCTATACAGAGCACACGCTGTACCCCGTATACCTTCTCAAGAGCCAATACTAGCTAAGGACGCTTTCTACGAGAATCTATGGAGCAAAGCAAATCTCACCTAGAAAAGGTTCTTCTCAACTTTGATATCCTCTTTTACAATGGCTATATTATTTGCTTTCACAAGATAACCAAGCCATAATCATTTCATATCGACTTGAAATCATGATTTTTTTGGCTTCACTAGATATCTTAAAGTTTGGTTCCTATATATTTTACGTTTTCGGCTTCGACGCGGCTCCGAGAAGAAAACCATACAGAGAGAAGACATGACATATCAGACAGTTCCACTGAACAACACATTTCACTAGGAAAGAAAACGATAAGATGGCGGACACAAATAATGAAGATTAAAACAAATAAAAACATCATGTATATATATCTATATATAAAACTAAAAAAAAAAAATCTTCACAACAATTTTTTTCTGCACTTCCACTGATACACAAATGGTTGTTTTGGTCATGATCCACTTATAGCTGCTCTCTACTGCTTCTAGCCAGCCCACACGCCTGTAGTGTACTCCTGCTCTCTCTGCCTGTTCCCCGGCACGCGGCGGACCCTCCGCATATCGTCAATGTGAGCTCCCCCAACTGGAATCAAATTAAACATCAAAATCGCCTTCTTTAAAATCTTTGTACAGGGCTAAACGACACAATCCCAGAGGTTATTCGAAGGTAGTTAGCGGAAAACAAAGCTTCTCTTTGTACTAGTTAAAGTCACAGAAGGCTGACCAAAGAGTCTGGTGGCTTCTGTCTAAGCTATTGGCCATTGATAGTGTTGGCTTTGGTTTATAGCTGTTGCCTGTGACTCTTTGCAGGTAGACAAAGCTTTAGAACAAGGAGGTAAAGAGACTAGTAGAAGAATATGCAGAAATTCATCTTTTTTTTTTCCTCAGCGTGGTGCTTACACAAACATTTACGTTTCAACTCAGTAATCACATTTCACTTTTCAGCACAAACAGAGATAAAGAGACACTGGAGAGACCTACTTTTTTTTGGACAGCTGCAACAGTCTTGATACCGCGGTTCTGTTATTGGTGTGAGTTTTAAAAATGGCATTTACAGTTGGTGGTGTTGCAAACGTGACGGAAAAGAAAATAAGCTTTTGTTAAAAAGAAAAAAAAAAGAAAGAAAGAAAGAAATACTGTCTTTTGAGTATTTTAGCAACATACAGGCAGTGACACTAATTTCTGATACTACTCCTGTGCAAATAATAACAGAGCAACAACTTGAATTGAACCAGCAATTGTATCTAACATCAGCGACTACTGTGGGCTGGATATTCACAAACTTAAAACTTTTTTGGCAGTATATGTGGCCAATGACTTTCTTACAGTAAAGACTCAAGTTTTTGTATTCGTTTCCGTCCATGAGTCTTGGTGTTTCACGGTGTGTGGTGGCCATGCCATCTGAATGAAATCTTGTTCTTTTTTTTTAATTCATTTGTAGTCATTTTAAAAAGCAGACATCTCATGCCTGTTCTTATGTGGTCCTCAAAGGGCTGAGAGAGTTTCTTTGGGCCAGTCTCCCGGGTTCATTCGAAATAAATATTCCTCGCTTCGATCTGCTGCCTTTCTGTGGTTTGTGGAGTGGTTAGAGGGGCGAGTCCCAGCAAACGTGGGCAGAGACGACTATCACTCCAGGTCCTCCGATAGGTTGCCTTCCTCTAGCTCTCGTTCCTCTTCCAGCTCTGGACTGTGGTTGGCTGTCGTCACCAATGACATCGGACAGTCATCATCGTCCATGTTTAGCGGCTCCTCCTTTACGTGAACTGGAGGCCTGTGAACAGTAACAGAAAAGAAACTATATTTAATATATTTAAATACATTTAATGACCTACAGGGTTAAATATAGCATAACGGGGGTTGTCAGTTCTCTGTGATTGGATTCTACCTACGATGTGCTGAAGTTGTGAGTCAAGAAGGATAAATATAGTGTAGTCATGAGGTAGAAAAGGGAAGGGCACTGTTCTGTAATAGCTGCCATTCTACTCATGCACAGATACAATCCAGAAGTAGACTTCATATTCAACACACCTTTGGCAAATTTTCAAGCCAGGGGTTGTTTTTTTCATATTTCGTATAAATGTAAATAGCAATTAAATTTAGATTAACAGCGCAGTCATAAAAATGCAGAGCAAAGCGGTTGATACCTCGACATGTTTGGCATTGAAAAGTTTACTGATGGCACCTGGCTGGAAAAAAAAAAAGAGAGAGAAGCAGCAACCCCATTATAAATAATGGAGAATTTCTCATCCCCTCACCCCCTGGAGCAAAGGGGGGAGTGGAGCTTTTTTTATCTTGTTAATAGAAAGCGCAGGCCTTCGTTAATATGCAGGGGCTGCGGTGGCGCTTCTTGAGAGGGGAGAGAACCTGCAGCTAGGCTTCTACCATTAATCAACTCCAGTCCGTCAGTTCACTCGGACACCATGATCCATGTTTTTAACTCCAAATGGATGAATATCTTTACTGACTGTCAATAAATGGAGAGGGGAGGAAAAAAAAAACACAGTGAGGCGGCGAGTGAGCGGCTTCTCCCCCCTGCAGAACAGCAGAGAGGAGAGGGTGGAAGTGGGGCTACTAACAAGAATAATAACGCTGTCACACACAAACAAGGCTTAACATGATCCTGGGCCCTTGGCAGGGAAAGGGGTTTGTGCTACCATGATAAATCTGACAAAACCTAATTATTTCTGACACGTTGGATGCATCGGGAAATCCCGCTAGACTAGGCGAGAGAGAGGGAGAGGGAGAGAGAGAGTTAGGCAGAGAAAGAGAGAGAGAGAGAGAGAGGAGAAAAAACCTTATCAACTAGTCTCTGCATTAGAACATGTCTGGCAGTCATCTCTTGGGCTGCACTCATCAATGGCAGGGGGAACTTTGAATTTGAAAAGAATTTTAAAAGGTACAGATTACTTTAATATTTATAGCAAAATAGATTAATATTCAGATGTGGTAGAGGAGGGTTGCTGGCGCTGGGATGGATGCTGCTGTCTGCTGAGCCAACGGAGTCAGAAAGAGAGAAAGACACTACCGTTCACAAGTTTGAAATCACTTATCATCTATCATTTTTTTTGGATATTTTATATTCAATGCTGACTTACACAACATAGATTTAAATATCACAAACTATTCGTCAAAAGGTATTTTTAGATGTTTTACTCAATATTTGAAGCATGTTGTTATAAAATGATAAACAATCGTATTTATCTATTCAGAATAATTTTCTGTCAAGTTACCAGCCTCAAGATTTGATCGCCACTTTTGAAATATGAGGCATTCTGGATTTTCATTATTTTTAGTCTTTTTAGAATCCTCTACCCCTCTGTTCATCACTCTGAAACTGGACACTTTTAAAACTATTTCTCAGTCTCCTAGTAATTATTAAAACTTTATTATTTGAATAATAAAAAAAAAAAATTTCAAACTTTTAAATTGTAGGCTAAATAGGACTACACAGTAATGAGTTGGAAAAGTACTGAAAGTTTTTTTTGTATTAAATGTATACAGTTAATAGTCTAACATTCAGTAATTTCAATTTTTTATTTCAAGTTGAATTCCACTGATTTTTCAAAATTTATTGAAAAATAAATTGTCTCACTGTAGAGAAAGACTGAAATGACACAAATGTAGCCATTTTATTCAAATCTATCAAAATGACCAGTGAACCTACGTGTCTTCTGAATTTTTATGTGTAACACTGATGATGGTTAAAAAAATACTAAATGCGAAAAAGTTTTCTTTGAGTACTTTTTGCCTTAGAACACACTGCGTGTAGCCCTCAACCATGAATGACTTTAAAAAAATGTTTTAGGCCAAAACCATCTCAGAACTATCATGAAACAATGTCTCAGGCATCAGGCAGTGTATTCGTAACAATTTCATATAATAACTTTCTGTGAGGGAGCTTTCAAAGGCATTACACTCTCTAGATGTCTGGTTCCTGACTCAACAATTCTGACTCGGTAAATCTATAGAATGGGACATTTCACATCACACCATCTGAATGATTGTGTCTAAACCATTTAATTATGCAGAAATTTTGAAAAATTTGTGGAATTCCCCTTTAACCTCTTAACCCATTCCCATCCTTGATCATTCAATTTTCATATTTTTATAAAAACAAATTTTAAATGTTCTATTTTTTCAACCATTTTGCACAAGTAGCCCCATATGTCCAAAATACTGTTTTAATTGAATACATTTAGTGATAAATAATCACTTTTTAGCTGTATGGTTTAATGGATTAAAAAAAAAGTTCTTCAGATTTGTGCTCAGGCAAGCTCCTAAGGACATTTAAATATTAAAATATGAATATGAACAGGATAAATTGCAAGGGCCCACTCTCATAACTAAACAACTTACACATTTTAATAGTAGTTACTGAATCATTTATAGTAGTTACTCTTATAAGAGTCAAAACTGAATTATAAATATGGGGTTTAAGGGGTTAAATAGGCTAACACTATGTTGGCATTATATTCCGCCCACAGGCGAATAAAACTGAGACAGATAATTTGTAATATTGCACTTGATATCGGTGAAGTTAAACTTCTGGTATTGTGACGACCTTAATAACCTGTCAGCTCGTTCAGCACTATGGCAAAGCTGCTGCCGCGTCAAACATGCACATCCTCCACTGAAACACTTACAGCACATCCAGTATATACTGATATTTTGATATTTTTTTCTTTATAAATGCAGCTGATCTAAATCTCATTCACATAGTGCACTTGCACTCTATCTGTAATTACACAGGATACATCATGACTGTTTCTACCCACAGAGCAACAAATGTGCTGTGAGTGTCTGTAAACATGCATTATAATGACACATTATGATATAGGGCCATAAAAGCTATCGCTGACCTACACCTTCACTCTTTGCTTGGCTCTTTAAAAGCCACAGAGAGCTCAGAGGAGGTGCTGCCTCTCACATTTATCACGCCATAACAAACAGGTCCGCAGATATGGGCCTAAAGATATTACCCGGAGACAAATGATCCCCGGCCAGGCCAGCGTTGCACTGGCCATTAAGCCCGACACAGGCCTTTAGCCTGCATGTGAAGAAGCATGGCTTACAGCTTTCATTTGCATTCATTAGAAATCAGCGGCACACTTGTGTGGCTTGGAGGAGGGAAGAAAACGATTAGTCCTTTCTCCACTGTATTAAGACATCAGGATGAGTCATTTAGTGGTTAACAAGAGGCTGGCATTAGCAAGCCACGAGCTGGTGCCTGTGCCAGCCTGCGTGTGTGAGTGAGTGTGTTTGTTTTTGAGGTAATGACTTGCAGATCTGAGTCATTTAAAATTGAAAAACGTATCTGATGTCAAATGCTGCTGATTATGGAATTAAATGTCATAACCCGTGTTGAAACAAGCTACTTCAGACATTGTATTTGTATTATTAACATTTTTTATTAACATTTCTGTCTGTATTTGTATACACTTTCCCTTAACCAAATCTTAAAGAGTGCCAGTACACACTCACAAAAACCCACACATGCCTGACGCTATCCATAGCTTGACTGAATGCGCAAATCATAACACGTTATGAAAAAAGGTTAGTCTGATTGTGTGGTTATTCTCTGGTGGGCAGACGTGAATATGATGTTGGTAGCTGGCCTCTTCATTATTAAATGCATCCCAGAAAAAGCCACTTACAAAACACATTTCTTCCATTTTGGGCATGTAGTGGCCATGTAAGGAAGAGGCAGCATCGGCCACCTTTCGTGTCTGAGACAGAGAGAGAGAGAAAGAGAGAGAGAGAGAGAGAATGCTAGCATTCAAGAAACAGACTCAACTGTCCATTATTAAAAGTTAAATAACCTGAGGGAGTGAATATACTGGGATTCTGTCTGGCTTTCAGATTTGCCCCAGTTAACACTCCTGTCCCACTTCCCAACCTGACACACACATACCAACATGCGCTTGCGCACACACGCTCATGCTTACATACATGCCCGGCTGTATTTGCTAATTTATAGGGGTGATAAGGCACCATTAGCACAGCTGGAGTGGAATCCTGCTTTGGAATGACAAGAAGCAGAGAATGTGTCTACGTATCTCTGCATGTGTACGTGTTTGTGTATGTGTGACAGTGCTAAGTGTCCTATCTTTGGCCCGGTAAACACTGCACAGTGACATGTATGACATCACTGATTAGTGCTGGGCACATTCTACATACGCATTCCTCAAACTCACACCACATGAATCTTTAATCACCCTACTCTCTCTCTCTCTCTCTCTCCTGCTCTCTCTCCGCACCATTAAAAAAGATGGAAAGGCAAAGATTTTAAAGTAATTAATGATACAGTTAGCTGCTAAATATTAATAGGAACAGTCTTGCATAAAATATAACATCTAAACCTCTACGATGCAGACGTTGGAGTAATTAAAACGGAATCTGTAATTAGGACTGTCCCTATTTATAGGTGAGAGGTTAAAGTCTAGAACCAAATGTAAACTTACAATGAAGTATGATGTCCAAAGCCCCAAATAAAGGTTGAATGTGTGTCATGCCTTTCATAGGACTGCACTTTAATTCACAGTACAGCCTACACCCTTAAAAAAGTGGTTTCTTGTCTAAAGGCAGTGGTTATAGGTAGAGGCATGAACACTCAAAGAACCATTTCAATGCATAAATGGGTCTATTCATGGTTAAATGTTGCCTCTCTAAGAAGATCCGCTGTATACGGTTCGTTTTCATTTAAAAATGGTTCTATGTAGCACCAAAAAGGGTCCGGCAATTGTTACCAGTCACAGGACCTTTTTTGGTACCTTTTATTTGGTACATATATAGAACGCTAAGAGTATAGTGGTCGTTGTAATACATATTTTTCTGACTCATGTAAGTTTATTCTCTCAGCTGAATATCTGATTGTGTGTAGAGGTACTGTTCAAACTGTGAGATTTCCACTGTCCACTGACTGATGAAAATGAGCCATTTCACAAATTCTTGTCATGTTTACATCAATTCATATAATACTAATAACATAATACTGTAATGATAATCCATGTAAGTCATATTTACATCATAAAACAATGGCCATAATCGGTGTATATAAATAAACAGAGTAACTAAAAGTAAAGTAAACCACTGTGGAGGTCTGATCTGCAGTGTGTCCACTCACATATGGGTCTGTGGGGAGTATCCGGGGCTGCTGTGACCGTTAGTGTCGAGGTGGTCGAGTGTGCCATTGAGCTCGTCGTGGGTGCTGCTCTGCAAGAGGCTGGGTGGGCTGCCGCTCAACAGACCGGGTGGACTGCCCCCCATCAACCCCGACGCACTGCTGTTCATCAGTGCCGCATTACCCAGCAACGGCAGAGACGTTTCCGCCAACGCTGCCTGTGACAGTGAGAAAGAGAAGGAGAGAAAGTAAAGAGCAAGTGAGAGAATGAGGAGAGAGAGAGAGAAAGATAGAGAGAAAGAACAGAGAGAGAGTAAACAGAGTCAGGGGGAAGGAATAGAGAGATAGAGAGAGAGAGAGAGAGAAAGAGAGAGAGAAAGATAGAGAGAGACAGAGAGAGAGAGAGCATTTATATTAATTCATGTTTTAATTTCATACTTTCCAACAGCATTTTGGTGTTGTAAGAAAATCTCTATCTAATCTCTAAAAATCTCTAAAACTAGAAAATATAAATTTTTACACTTTTTTAAAAAAACCAAATATAATTTAATAAAATTAGTTAAAAAAAACTTGAATGTTTTGCTTTTCAGAATTTCTATTAGTCAATTTTTCATGAAATGTACACATCGTGTTTTTTTTTTCAAATGGTGTGAAAAACACAGTGGCGACAGTGACAATGTTAAAATATGCAATTTATTCAAAAGCTATTCCCTGGCTGGCTCTAATTTTGTGTCACTAACTGCAATAAGTTCACTCTGGCCTTGACGAAATCATATGGAAGAGGAGAAACTGAAAAGAATCTGTTTGGACACCTGTGAGCTCCAAAAAGAATTTCTTCACTGAGACAGATAGGCCTCAGAGGTGCAGCAAGAAAAAACATCAAGCATCTGCATGACTATTAAACTACCCAAAAACTTTACCTGAAAATAGTAAAAAAAAATCTCCTGACAATTTTTGCCTCTTGCACATTAAAGTTATATACGGTAATTAAAATTTAAAGTTTTTGCCATGAGCACCTCACTGGCCGACACTACGAAGCCAAATCATTTATGACAGCTTGGATAAATATTAATGCATATTCCCTTGCATTTGTGCAGGCTGCTATCAATCTGAAGCACAGGCATGCAGAAAAACTAGACTGGCAGAGAAGCTACCTGCCTCTGCCACACGGTGTCCTTCTAGACTCTCACTGCTCATGCCAACCTGGCTCTCTCTCTCTCTCTCTCTCACACACACACACACACACACACACACACACACAGAAAACTCTGAGGAATTTATTCTCCTGCTGTTCAGGCTGTAATTATGAGAATACAGACAAGCATACACAAACTGTGTACTCAGGCAGACAGTGAAACTGCTCTTTTATTTCAGCTCTGAGAACAGGTCATGGTCTGAAAGTGGGGGCTATTCCTAAAAGAGGAGCCGGCTGCTTACCTGCAAGCTTGCATTAAGAGCTGCTCCGTAACCCAGACTGGATGGCAGGTTCTTCACTAGCGTCGGGCTCCTGTCCATTAGAACACACAAATTCAATTATTTACGTCAGTTTCTATTCAATTAAAATCACTTCTTCACAGCTTATCCTCTTAAACCCTATGGATATGCCTATGTATATAGGCACAGACTAGTTTCTCACTCTCCTGCCTACAGAAATTACTGACTAGTAAGTACAGTAAGCATAGAGTTCAAAGGGTTAAACCCTAAAGATCCATATGTGGTTCCACACCTCCATCACTCACTGTCCTAACTACATGGCTAGTCATAGGGAGGAGTCAAAGCCTCATCAATATCTAAATGTGTAGAGGTGTTCAGCAGTAACATGTGGCCTGCAGACTCCAACAATGTGGAGGGAGGCTTCATATGCATCACTGTCATTAGACCTTCACCCTTGCAACCTGGGTGATGTGGGTCTGGGACAGACTTATGGCACTGGGATTTACCCATGGTAACCGTCTTAAAGCATTAAGAACCGTCTATATTGAAATTAGGGGACGAATTAAAATGATCATAAACGACCACTGATCGTGCATGTATATTCTTCCTTCTGCAGCTATAATAATGACATGGTACATTCTTGCAACTTTGTCTGAGTGGAGTTTCTGAGTAGTACTGTTTGAAAGAGAGAGGGAAAGAGAGATAATGAGAGACAGCGGGCTTTACCCTGTTATCTTCTGTGATCTGCGTTTCTGGTACTCCATCTCGTCCACTGTCCACACTGCACCCTTCACGTTTTCCACTCGCACAAAACACTTGTGCAGGCTCAGGTTGTGGCGCACTGCATTCTACAACACATAAACATCCTTTGCTACAGTTATAAAAGCTACAAATATACAAATAATCATTATATCAATTTGAGTATAGTAATTATAAGCATTTATAGATATAGATTGATTACGTCATTATATCAAGTTCTCTTATCGTCCTATATCTTTATCTTTGAATGAATATAATATCACTGTCTCTAAATATGTCTATGATGCTTATAATAAAGGAATACAAAAGCAACATTGGTGCAAATATTCTTCATCAAATCACACATATGTGATTAATCTATGCACCACTCGCTGTGTTGAGAACGGCGCACGGTATGTGCATACACTCAGATGGTCACTAATAATATCCAGGAGGTCTTTGAATTAAGCATGAACCTCACATGGCTCTTCTGACATCTATTTGTGCGAACACACCTATATTTAAATAATCCCCACAAATCAGGTTTATGAAAATGACCCCAAAACACGTTAACATTCATAATCAAGGAGGGTGGAAAGACGGGGGTCTGCAGCACACCTCTTATATCATGAAAGAATCTAATTAAAACACGTGGCAACAGCAGCCAAATAATAACCTTTGCTTTAATATTACAGTTTTTTTCATGTTTTATTTCAGGGATGGGTTGTAGTGGTTTTGCTCTAAGAAAGGGATTCTATGAGACAGGAGGGGAAAAAAAAACTCATAAGCAGATCTCGCATCTGACCTGAAAATCCCAGGATTTGATTGATCTTAATGCCCATGGCTCTGAATATGATAATTTTAATATTAATGAGCAAATGAGCAGTTTTATTATGCATGCTATATAGTTATAACTAATAAGCTGCCGGGGCCGAGAGCTGGATCCCCAAGCTGAGCTGATGAGACCAAGCAGAGATATTAAATCACCTTTCATTCCTTTTTAAAAATTCTCTCAGTTAATCAAATGACAAGCCCATCACAGCCCAGCCTTGTAAAGCCAGCACAAAGGAGCAGCCAGGCTCAAAATGTAAATATCCCAGCTCGGCTATTGTAAAAGGAGGGACCCGAATATTCCTAAAGCTACTCCGATGCTTTTTTGTTCCACCCATGGCCAGATTAAAATATTTAGTGATAAGGAGTGAGAACCTAGTGCACATGTGAGGATATTTTTTAAGAGGGCGTGAGATAAGAGCTCTACCTGTACTGCATACTGTCTATAGAAGCTCTTTAGGTGATGTAAATGTTTTTTATGAGCAAAGATGTTGTGCACCAATGTCCTCTCTGATATTTAGTGTTGAAGCCCATATACAGTAAAGCAGTTCTGGCCCTGTGTACTGATGTACAGGGAGCTATTGCACACCCTTGTGGAGCTGTAATCATACACCAGCATCATTAGCAACCCAAATCCAAATTAATTCACTTTGCTAAATCTAGTGCTGGGAGACGCTTAGCATGCTGATGAGAGAGAGGGAGAAAGCTCCTAGCCTGGCTCTGAGAAGGGCTCCTGGCTAAAAGACATTTTACTGAAGTAAAAGAAAAAAAAAACAGTTCAATGATATCAATGTGTATATATATATATATATATATATATATATATATATGCATGTGTGTGTGCGTGTGTGTATCTCTAGCCCTCTTTTCACCACGCACCCCTCTTCCCTCCAAAAAAAGCAGATCTGGGGTAACATTTTTAAACCTCTTGTCTCCTTTTCTTGTTCTATTCAGAAAATAGCAGACATTGAATTTGTTGGGACAGGGATACAAATGAGAGCCTTTGTCCTGGTAAATAAAGTATGCTCCAGCAGTGACAGGAGCATTTACTTAGTGTTGGACAGGGGCTAACCTCTCTCTCTCTTTCTATGTACATGAGACACAGTGTGTACAAAGAACCACCCGACAACACTAAAAAAAAAAAAAAAATCCCAGACTGTGTCTGAAAGGCAAACAGCCATCTTTCAAACTAATTAACCAATAATATGCAAGGGGGGTGGGAGAATGAGGGAGAGAAAGAGAGAGCAAAAGAGAGAGAGAAAGAAAGAAAGAGAAGAAGGAGTAATACACTGCATCTAACAAAAGGTGCTGATGATTGAGTGGCTGGGTAGTAATTAGTGCGTCAGAACGCACACCTCCCCGCCAAGCCTCAGCTATTAATTGCACCAAATTAGAAAACGATATCAGAGGCCGAATTATTCTTTCACTTGTCATTTTTCTACAGAGAAGAGAAAGAGAAGGAGAGGAAATTCACCCTTTTCAAGAGGCAGGTTAAAAAGAGGGGAGCGCGATACTAATCTATTCGTGTCAAGTAAATAAATGTCCCTTCCGGGCCTCTGTCTCTTGCTATCCAGTGGACAGGTTAGGGAGGGGCAGAGGAAAAAGGAAGGGGGACGTTACCTTCCAAGTGGCGGCATTGCGTCTGAAGTAGGCGAAGGTGCGCGTGAACCAGCTGTAGATTTCATTAAGCGTTAACTGCATGTCTTTCGAGTCCATGATAGCCTGCAACAAGACGCCATCAAATAATGCTTTACTAACCAGGCCGTTTAGCCACTCTCACCCTGCTGCAATGTTAATTCAAGCAGCAATTAATTCTAATCTAATCAGGAGAAAGCTAATTTATTTCCCCACTCACCTGCCTGATGAGCGTTGCATACGTGAATGGTGGTCTGACATCAGCGTTCTTATAAAACTCATAGTTTGGGGCTATTTCTGCAATGGATAAAATAAAAAAATGAAGAAAAAATATAAATAAGTATAAATTGTCATCACATGGAATAACTGCTAAATGCAACTCCTCAAGGAGCTGAATTCACTTAGGATTTAATGAAATTAAAAAAGAGGGGAAGAGAAAGAGGAGTGGGGGGGTGTGCACATCAAATCAGCATTTTACATGTCCAACAAAATGCATTTTTAATTAATCTCTCTCAAGAGAAATCTTAAACATTAACACAGGCGTGAAATTAGAGCCTGTGTAGATATTTTGTATGTATCTGAATAATTCATGCACCCCATGTGCAACTGCACAAGACCAGTAAATATAAACATCAGAGTGGATTTTGTAACGTGCATAACTTAATACACATGGCCATTTTAAATGTGATGAATATTGTATCATTTTCTATTTGACTGTAATTAACGTTCATAAAATATTGATGCACTATACAGCCTGATATTTGTCTCTTTTGCATAGAGGAAAGACAAGAAATAAAAGGCTTTAATCTGGATACTGGTTCCAAATGAGGCAAAGAGCATGTCAGGACTGTGTGTGAACATAAAATTTCACTTGAGGAATACTATATTGTTGCTGTGGGAACAAAACCTTGTATTGCAGAAATGGTAACTTGATGGGAGAAAAAAAAAGGAAAAAACTCAACTTTGAATGCATGCTAATTAAAAGTGATTTTATTTTAAGTAATTTTGGATCATTTAAGTTGGTAAATTGGTCAATATTCACAAAATGTAAAGGGCAGCTGGTGGTTCCAAATGACAAAATAATCAGAATAGAAAAGAAATGACTGCAACTATATAGCAAAACTTTATGTACTTTTCTATATGATTAGGCATGAAGGAATGCATACCTGAGGACAAGGGCATGGAATATTTGTCGGAGTGGCGTCTACGCATGGCGCCCATGCTGGGCACGTTGGCAGGGCTGAGGACTGAGGGGACCTGGGGCATCTGGCTCAATGGTGTGACGGGGGCTGTGGGGGTGGTGGGGGTCTGGGGCAGGTTCGGTGGGGAAGCTGACGGCAGGTTCTTCGACATGGTGATACTCGAGACTAAATTTAACTGATGAGGGAGAGAAGAAAGAGGAGGAGGAGCGAGAGAGAGAGAGAGAGACAGAGAAGGAGGGAGAGAGATAGAGAGAGGGAGAGAGAGAGAGAGAGAGAGAGAGAAAGTTTAAAGCACTCAGACAAACAAGAACAGATTCAGTTGTACAGCTGTGTTTCCACTAATAAGCTGCAGAGGAAACAGCCAATCTCCACTAATTACAGGATAAAATTGTATCATAAGAATTCTAATTAGAGCACGCTGTTAAAGATTATCTAATGATCATCCTTTGTGTTATCCCAGCCCATCTCCATCCCACAAGAGCCTCCTACATGTATAAGAGTGCGAGTGTGAGTATGTGTACAAAACACAGAGAGAGAGTTACCACCTGTTTTTTTTTTAAAGCACCTGGATTAAAAGCCTAGACTAACCTCCAAACACAGCACATCACACTGAGACTTGAGACACTGAGACGTCTCCCAACTTTCTTTTTTTTTCCTTCTTTCATTTTAGTGTTCCGTTCCAAATCTCATGTGAGAGGGTCCAACTGACTGGAAAATTCCACCCTGACCTTTAGTCCCTGCTGCTAATTCGTGGGAATGGTAATGACATCATTACATATTCAAACTAAATTGCCTTAATTGTAAACTGGCAAATGGGATTCTGAACTGGTTTGAATGGAAAGAAAACCAGAAATGGCAGAGGGAGAAGAAAAGGAGTCAGGCATCAACAATCATGTGTGGCATGTGTTGATAAATAGTATGAAATGTCAAGTTGCCCATTCCATCACGGCTGGGTGCCTTTGCAATTGATAATTATAACTCTACTTAATGGTAATTACACAATGGCAACAGAAAGGGGTCCAGGCACTGTATATACAGTTAAATAAAGGCAAGCACTCCACTAAAGCAGGGGTGTCAAACTCAACCACTAAAAGGGCCACAATAAAAAATCTCAACAAATCTGTGGGCCAGCTGTGTTTTTATTTCTTGACCCGAACTAGCCATTGTTTATTCAAAATATGCCGAAACAAAAAAGGCACTGAATATTTGACCTATTAACTCTTTTATTTAAATCAATAGACTTTGTATAAAACAATAGGCTACACTGCTACAGATAACTGTTAAACCTCTTTAACCGTCCCCAATATATGGACACCTGTCTATACACCTGAACTAGACACTTGTCATTTTTTCTTTTTATGGTGCTGTTTCATAGAAGCACATTATGTTGCAGTGCATGCTGTGGATTGTAGTGCAGCTCATGGTGAATTGGGCTAATATTGACAGAAAATTCAAATAATTTTGCAGGCCTTGTGTTTGTCACATGAGGCTCTAGAGGGACAGTGTACCTTGTCCAAACTTGACTTAAAGATGTATTCTAGGTATTAAATTGAGATTAATAGACTGTTCTCTTTAAAATTACCTGTGAAAATATGGCAAATCTGGACTAGATGGTAATTGTGCTGCTTGAAACAACAACATGGCAACATCAGTCGTCTTGTGTCTTTAAAACGAGCGTGACATTCTGGTGATGGGTGAAAAAAGTGCAGTTGTGAATCCATCGGTGTCATTTTTCTCTTTGTGCAGAGCACTCCATTGATGTGTATAATACAGGAATCTCCATATAATTCAGCCGAGGTCAGGTCAAGGCAACGGGCCGATGCTTTGAAGAGCCTCCCTCTTAATCCCCCATTCACTGCAGCAGACTGCACGCGCAAAACCACAATATCAACCAGTAATTATTCGCTACTTGTTCTACACTGGGAACAACAAAGGCTGCTGATACACCGTCAAACATAGCAAAAAAAAGGCATTTCATAATAAATCCTATCAAGAGTGACTGCGTGCGAGTGTGTGTGTGTGTGGCATGTATATTTATAGTGTTAAGACAAGATTTTCTTCCCCTCTCTCTTCACCTGGTTACAGCAACAAGCGTAACATGTTTGCAGGCACACAATCCTGTATTTGCAAAATGGAATTTATTAAAACCTAACTGAGCAGGAGCGAATGAGAGGCAGGGATGAGCACTTTGCCACCTCCGCTCATCTGAATATATATTCAAGGTTGGCTGAGAGAAAGAGAGAGAGAGAGAGAGGGAGGGAAAAAAACCCTCATTATTCAGGACTTGCAGCCTTGGTAACTTTGATTTTCAGCCATCCATGGCATGGCCAAAAGGTAACATTTAATGAAGTGCCATTCAGGGCGTAAATGGGGTCATATAATAGACAGTGTGTCTGCACCTTGTGTTGGGCTACTGATAGCTGTTAAGGGTGCGGTGATGAACCAACAGGGCTCATTTCGCCCTGCTAATAAATTCGCACTATTAATATTTATCAAATGTGTGGGCTGCCTCCCTCTCAGCCCTATGCATGCGAGGGCAGAAATCCGTGCCATGATATCTATTACCTCTCCTCTTTTGTGTAGTACATACATTTTTGGGTGGATATGGTGTGTAGGATACGTGTTCTCTTTACACCAGTGAAATTGGAAATATCAAGTACAGTCGTGCACACACACACAGAGCTGCAAAGAGCTACATGCACAAAAAAAAGACATGCAGATGCACACACACACACACACACACAGACAAAAGAAGGAAACTGGGAAAAAACTGAGGCCATCATCGCTCATTTAAAAATCTGCCATTAATTGCTCGCCATCAAATGCAATTAGCAGCCCTTTCATGTGTGGTTTATGTAATGTAATACTTCATTAATATTATTCATTCATATGCAGTATTGGATTACAGGCTGAAATTCTTTATTAGTGTAGATGTAACCAAGCTGCTGGAGTTTTGAAGATTAAAAAGGGGAGATTGAATAATAAATTGGCAGAGGGGAGCAGCCCGATTCCTGGCGGATCTGCAGGATAATTATTCTATCTTGTGATTATCTATTTTATATGGTGGGAGGTGATGAGGAAAATTATGCCATTGAAATTAGGCACTTACTAAGCAGTAGAAACACACTATGCATTCCTCTGCAAAATATTGAACGTGGGATAAATAAATTTGACACAAATATTTATTTTTGCTGACGTCTATTTGTAAATAGTTTTGTGTAAACCACACATTTTATATTTCTGTCTGATCCAGCTATGTTTTTACAGATTTTCCATGCTATTAATCCTTTTTTTTCAAAGACAGCATCTGTCATCTCTCCAGCTACCTGTCAGACTGTTTACAGATTGCTGGTTATTTCATTTCACATCATCTTCGCTGGTCTCCATCTATCATTACAGCTGTTTGTTTTCAGAATGAAATGTCTTCTGTTGCCTCCGGCTTCTTTAAGTGCTACTCAGGTCATGGAGCTTAACAGCTTCTGCTGGCCAACAGGTTGTTTGCAGTATTAAAGCCATCAGGCCGTAATGGCTGGGCCTTTTTTGGCTCAGATTGGGGGTATGATTTAATGCACTCACCGTCGTCGCAGTCTCCCCCTAGCCGTGGCTGATGGGGAGCAGTGAAACCTGGCATTACAAATCCCATTCTCTCCTCGTTCGCTATCGCTCTCTCTTGGCGCTGTTAAACAGTGGCGTTTAGAGAGCTCATTTGCCGCCCTGCCGCCCTGTTTACCGTATGTGGAGCAATATGCACTCACCGGTTTGGGAGATGGCTTGGGCTCCGAGGGCCGCATGTGCAAGTGGGCCATCATTGCCTGAAGACGCTCACGTTCTTTAGAAAGCTGTTAAGAGAAAGAGTGGGAGAGAGAGAGGGAGGGGAGAAAAAAAATACAGAAAAAAAAGAAAACAGAGCGGTTTTAGAAATGAGCGATTTTCCCCAGACTACCACAGTAATACATCTTGTTATTGAGCTTGTCTGGTTGTAATGAATCCTGCATATGCCCAGTCTGGCTTTCTTAAGCCTGCCTCAAAGACAGAGATAGAGAGATAGAGCGAGATAGAGAGAGAGGGGGAGAGAGAGAGAAACAGAAATGTAAAAGGGGTGTGAAAGAAAAACAGGAGAAAAAGAGGAAAGAAAGAATAATAGGAAGACAACCACAAGAACCTCAGACTGAGAGAAAAAGATTAAGGAAGAGAAAGAAGTAGAGAGATAGAGCCAGAGAGAGAGAGAGAGAGAGAAAGAGAGAAAACAAATATATATATATATATATATATATATATGAGGAGAGGAAAAGAAAAACAGGGAAAAAAGGGGAAAGAAAGCATCATATGAAGAAGAGAGGAGAACCATTCCTGGTGAGCAGTGTGGTGGTGCTAAGAGGTCAGGGAAAACAAATAGCACTTCATCTTTTTGTCAATAGCAGAATTTAGGTCAGCGATGCTTTGACAGTAACAAGCTACTCAGGTCATAAATTAGAGGGTCCTGGGCGTCTAGTCAAAGTCCTGTGGACACAGTTAGGGCTGGACTGGAGCCAGCAGCTGCCAAGAGGTGAAGGGGTCCCACAAACAGAGTGCCAGCCAAGCCCCGCCTCCACTGCCTCCACTCGGTCCCTCCGAGGTCCAGTTAGTGCCCCGGCGATCCTCTATCATCAATCTAGCTCACGGCGAGTGACAGAGACCAGCCCGCGACCACGCACACATGCTGAACTCCAGCACGGAGCCGGCGTAACCCGCTCTGAAGCGGGCCTCATTACCACTGACGGAGGGATGAAAAAAGAAACGGAGTAGGAGAGAAAAAAAAAGCAAGATGGAAAACAGCAACACTGCTGTAATTGGTCACAGTGTAAGCACGGGGGTTGGCGCCTCTTTGGTCTTTGGGTGCACTCAGAGGGAAAAAAAAGGAAAAAAAAAAAAGGTGGTGGACTTTTGTTATTTTACATATAAACAAGAATTATTCATTGTTCAGATTCAAGAGCCCAACAAATAAATAGGGATAAATTCGCAGAGCGTAAAAACCTTTAAAGGTTGAGAGCAACGCTTCGCTTACATTCAGACAGGCATCACAAAGGTTTAGGCCACAGTCAGAGCGCTATAGAGGCTGGATGGATGGATCTACATGGAAATAAAAGGGTTTTTTCTTAATATTTCTTGGGCTTCAAATAAAACTGATCCATCTGGAACCTTTCCAGCAATCCACTACAAATCTTAAACTGTAAGTTGTTAGTAAGTACTATCAAACAAAGCCTGGTGTTTCCATCCCTCCAGAGTGAGCCCCTTCAGAGTGACCCATGTTTCATTCCCATGCTGCACTGGGGCAGACAGGGGTGTGAAGATGTTGCTGGCAGGAGAGGCAGGCCTCAGTGCTGAGTAATAACGTCCTTCAATCACTGCACTCATTATCTTGCCAGCGTGACTCCTTAATAAGGTCACGCTCCACCTCCTGAAAATAGTGGCCCTCTTTAGAGCTTCCTTCAGGTGCAAAGTGCATTTAATTAACACCGACCAGCCCTAGATGCGTGCATATTAATTGGACGGGATAGAAAATAAGCACAAATCCTAATTCAATTAAAAAATGCCAGCCACGGCTCTTGCTGGGTCTCCATGCTCCTAGGTTGCGTTTGTTTCACTAAAATCATCCTCTAAACAAGGTCTGCACTGTTTTTCATGTTTTTCGATAATAATGGATGAAGTAAGACCTGGAAAGTGGTGTTACACCCATTTATTGGAGGTTAACATTTCTACTGTATTTACAGTTTTGAAATTTACACTGGTGATCATGTAGGTGATGCTGAGTGCTGTACAGTACCTGAATCTCTAGCTGCTGTACCACTTGCATTTGGACCCGGCACTGTGCCGTGCTCCTGTCGTCCAAAGCATGCTCACTGTTAAGGTGCCTAAAATCAGAGGACAGAGAGTAAGAAAACGTCCCAGCCACAATCAACATTAATAAAGACACTCATATTAACCAACATATTTATTTTATTTGCTCTCTCTTTAGCTAATAAGTCACATTTTTTTTAATATTTGCTAATAGTCTTACTTGTCTGGTCTGTTTAGCATATTTCATGTCATACATGTGTGCACTGACCAAGAACATACGGTTACTGTACCCTATATATATAGGGTTACTGTACTAAAATGTCTGCATTTTATTCATTTTTGAATGCATTTGTAGCTGACAGAAATGTTATATTTCTCTGTATGCTAATCCATAATACATTTTATAAAAGTGAATGTATCAGCATTGGCATATATGTACATAAAAATATTGGACATCGGCATCGTCCCACAGTATCAGTGCATCTCCAGGTACAATAGTACTGATTCTAAAAGAAAAAAATCATTAATAACAAAGCTTGTTGTTATTTTAGTTAATCAAACCATCATCAAAATTGTTATAGTGATGCTTTATGGGTCATCTTGCATTATTAGCCATTTGGAAAAACAAAAAAACCCACCCTCCCTGTCTGTGAGTGTTCTCCATGGAGCTCTGAAAGCTAGTGTTTAACATTACAATAGGGGCACTGTCATCTAAATCAGAGTCCTGCGCACAGCAGCCCAGCTTATGAGGGATAAGGGATGTTGGCGTACAAAAGGCATCGCAGAGTGGTTTTGTCCTCTTCATTTATGGAAAACAATAAATGCAATTTAACTTGAGTAACATTTAAAAAGTGTCTCCTATGAAGAGTGCATTATTCAGCCATGTATTAAATGTATCTACTCATCCCTTCATTAGAATAAAGGGGGGGAAAAAAACGCACAGCAGACTGCAAAAGCAGTCAATGACGGTTTTCCCTGATTGGATTTTGTCTGCAGGACACAAAAGAAGCTCGCCATTAAAATAGACCTTTATTCCCAGTGAACGCACGGAGGCGAAAAGGTTTTTAAAAGTGTTGTGATGTTCGGTAATGAGCCTCTATCTAAATTATCATTGGTGACAAACCCACAAAGCGCTCTTTGAGGAGACATGGTTATGAAATGCCAAAGCTGCCACTTTCTTTCCTGTAATTATAGGTTAGCTTGCAGACCCTTCAATGATCATTTACAGTACAGCCTCCAGTGCATTAGAGTGAGCTTAAATCACACACACACACGCACACACACATATGCACATACACACACACACACACACCACTGCTATGCATTTTCCCTATTCATTTGGACCACTCTATTGTTTATGTGCAATATGCAAACTAACAACGTATTCATAACCCTCCCAAAACACGCCAATCAAAGCGGAGGGCATCCAAGAGCACAATAGCTCCACTACCTTTCAATTACAGCCATGCCCATTTAAAATCATTTCATTTTATCATGATCATTTCTGCTTTTGTAACCATTTCAGGTCTAATGCTCAGATATTCTCCATTATAAATCAAGAATGAGATGCTTTAAAAAAGAGTGAGAGAGAGAGAGAGAGAGAGACAGAGAGAGGGACTGGGGAGAGTTGGTGGCTTCCTCCAGCCCGTGCCTAATTGCTGTTTCAGAATGCGCATGCAAAGGGGCATTTCATTAATCATTTAATCACGTCCCTCGCAGGGAAGAGGGGAACTAATGTTGCAAATACCCTTTTCATTTCAATGCTCATAATGCTATCTTACGCACTTGATGTATGGCGGATGTCATAAATTACAGCTGCTTCAAAAGGGCCGGGCGCCTTGCTCCGCTCTCCCCAAAGACGGCTTTGGAAAAACATATCTTATCCCTTTACTCATCATCAGCCATCTAGATTTAATCTTTTTTTTCTCCTTTATCTCTTTTCTGGAAAAAGGGTACACTGCTTATGTGATGTGGTCACTTACTGAATCTCTTACAAAGGCAAGCGCTGGTCAGTTAGCTAAGGCTGTGCGCATGATAGAGTGGGCTAATAAAAGGAAAAGGAGGGCAAGGAGAAATGAGAGAGAGAGAGAGAGAGAGAGAGAGAGAGCAAAAGAAAGTGAGAGATTCAGAGAAAAGAGAGAGGGAGAAAGAGAAAAACAAAAAGACAGAGGGAAAAGGGAGAGAGCGAGACAGAGGGAGACCGAGACAGAGAGAGAAACAGAAGGACAGAGGATCAGAGTGACAGAGGGAGACTCAGAGAAACAGAAAAAGAATGGGGAGAAAGAGACAGAAAAAAAGACAGAGAGAGAGGGCCAGAGAGAGAGAGAGAGAGAGAGAGAGAGAGATTGGGGTTAGATGGAGTCACCAATATCTCTTAATGAGGCAGAGGCGGTGGGCTCAGTTCAAACAGAAAGGTGAGAAGAGTCTGCACAAAGACAGCTCCTGAACAAACATCTCTGCAGCCGTCTGTAATTTATGGGTCACTTTATAGGCATATTGATTTTTGTTTTGAGAAGGCGAATAAGAGCTGTGATGGGAATGGGCTCCGTGAAAAAAAAAGACTGACAGGAGCAATTCTGACTGACTGACTGACAGACTGACTGACTGAGATTACCATTTAGTGTGCTTGAGAAATACAGCCAAGATACTATTAACAAAACCTCAGATGAGAAAAGATTATCTGATCTGAATGTAGTCTGAATAGGGATAATTGCTCACATATATTGCAGCGAAAATATAAAAAATGTGCCCTTTTACACTGTGTGAACATTTTGAAAATGACGTGCAAAATGAATTGGACTAAAATCTTCTCACATTAAAATACATTCAAGTTAAGAACTTCCTATAAAGTCACCATGTGGGAAATCTAAAGCCACAATGTATTTGTTAACTGTGTCCTGGAATATGTGGCTAGCATGTTCAGGAAGCAACTGCTGGCAGTCAAACAATTTGCTACTCAAACAGCAGTGACAGCACTTACAAAAACCTCTCACATTTTCAAAGGTCCTGCCACCCCCAGCCACACACACCAGGAGATGGGCTGACCCGGGGCAGCCTGCTGGCTTTAATTATCAACCAGTTTCGGGGATTGGCGAGCAGGTGACCGGTGGAGACCTGGGTAACCACTTCCCATGGTTTGCAGGTACTAAAGACCCTCACATGGCTGAGATGAATATGAGCAGAATAGACCCTGTTAAAGGGATACAGACCTCTGAAGTCTCTACAGCCCAAGCCTCTTAACTGCCACATTTGACAAAGCTTGCAGGTTTGGTGGGTTGCACAGAGCTTGATATAGGTGAGTTTCAGTAACGCTATTCATTTTTCCCTTAGAGAAAAAGAGCTTTAACTACAGCTGGGTGTTATTGCTAACATATCAATATATTTCAAGACATTTTCACAATACATAATGTCATGATATTTATGTTTTCCTGACATCTGCCACATAGTAGTAAACAATACTATCAAAAACTATGAATGCAAATTATTTTTATTCAGTGTTTCACTGCACCAAATCCAGTTAATCAGGCCTAATTATCCACAATATCCACAATATGCTCAGAAACGCATACTGACATACTGTGATGTAATTTATCACGATAATGATAAATATTGCCAGATTACCCAGCCCTGACTTCAACCTAGAGCTCCTCCAGATGCTAACGGCCAACTGTCAACACAACCTCAGAGGTCTTTGAGGTAATCTAGGCGCCAAGTTCGCCAAGTTAAAGAGATGCCATATAAGGCTGGGGGATTGAGATTATAGAAGACGTCAGAGTCTTCTGGAAGACAGCTGCTGTAAATATGCAGTGAAAAGGCATGGAACTTTCTTGCTGGTGTTATCTTTCTTTGTCTTTCCCTCGCCGCCCTCCTCAAACATGTGAAAGGAAATCAATATGAGAAGTAGGGCAGCAATCTGTAGCTTATATAATAATAAACTCGCCGGCATGGAAAAAGCAGAACTCGAGCGGGGATGAATTTATTATGTATTTCTTTTTAATTTGACATATTTTCCAAATAAGTTGCCCTGAATCACACCACAAGAAGCTCTCAGAATAATGTATACTGTGATGCATAAATATACATATCTTGAGGTGACACACATGCACACACATGCACACACACACACACACACACACACAGAGTAATATTCCATTTGAACTTCAGAGCTAATGTAAGGTGCCAGGTACCTCTAGGCTACCTCTCCAGGTGAGAAACACTTAAAAGAACACTGAAGAGCTATTAAATGCTGATCTTGACAAGTTTCTCCGCAGCACCACACAGAATCCTAAACGCACAGAACAGATTCCTTCACCGGCAGCTACAAGCCAAGCACCCCCCCCCAACAAAACCCCTACCCCCACAACCCCATCAAAGGTGCCATTTGATTCTGACACCTATTTTATGTAAACCATTTTAGGCGTGTGTACCTGGCTGATGCGCTGCAGTGACTGCCATATCCTAAAACATTAAAAGCCTTTTCCTGACACCGACAATAGCTCCTCCAAGGCACAGCGACACCCGCCATCTCACCGGCTCAGATCATGCCGGCTTTGTTGGGGGGTGTGTGGGGGGGTGTTCTTGTGCAGGTTACAGTATGGAAGCCTCTGACTCGGGGAATGATCGGGGGAGTCTCATCCCCGTTTCAGCGCTGCACACTTGAAACACGCTGGTTTGTATGCTGATTGTTATGGCAGTGTCCTACTATGCAGCCTGTCACATGCAGAGCTTCTTCGCTTCTTTTTCTCAGCTTGTGTTATGCATGTCTCTGTGCTTCATTTAATACTAAATCGAGCTCAGCAAGTTAGAGATCAGACTATACACTGTATATAGTGTCAGACACAGGCAGAGAACATATACAGAGTTAGAAGAAGAAGAGGAGGATGTACCTCCGGGATGAAAGGGCATGCCATGTATATATGTTCTTCTATATCAGAATCTGTATCAGCCCTTATTAATCACAATTTGGATAAGTGCAGATTGCAGAAAGTGCTGATTTTCGGGTAAAACACTTTCCGCAGCACATTTGCTGTAACTACTAGAAGCCTACTAGAATATAAATGTCTGGAGGGGTGCAGTCCCAGTCGAAAGCCTCTGTAATTAGCAAGAGTAATTTTGATTAGTCTCCTCCAAATCTTCCACTCTGCTTGAAGTGGACTCTTTTAGTTCTGTCAAATGCATTTGAGAACCTGCCCCCCCAGCCCAGACCGTTTGAAAAAAAAAGAGAAACAATGTCCCCCACTTTCAAATGCTGTTTATGCGAACTGACGTGGACATTTACACCCACATAACGCGTGCAAGATCATTATTTCACAGTTAATTATGAACCTAATTAGAATATTCAAATGAACAGTTCTCTTTTTCTTCTGACGTTGAGGCACTCTTCTCCGAGTGGCAATGTGATAACCTGTAATCTCCGGCATGGCAAACACCTTCTCCTTTGATGGCCCCCACTAACATCCACCGCAACAAAGCAGACCAATTACAAATGAGCTAATTAACTAAATTGTTGATGGAGCATGAAGAGTTCATTTCACTCCATTGGCTGCACCATGACAACACTGAATGTGTCCCATTGTGATGGGCTAACGTGGCTACACAAGCTGCCATTTGCTGGTGGCACTGTTCACCAGCCTATCATGCTTTTTCCTGTGGCTGAGGCGCAGTTAATCTGTGGTCATTCTGATGCTCAGGCTCTGACAGCCTGACAGACAACATGGCAAGTCAGTCTGGAATATCACTACCTGAGTTTACACTTACCAACTGAGTGTGAAATCTTTCAACTTCTTCAACATTCGTGTTAAAAACACTCTTTAGGTGCTTTTTTTTTTTACAGATTACTTGATTAAATATTATTTTAATGAATAATTACTGAAGTAGCTAACCACAGGAAATGTGATGTGGATGTATAAAAGTTAACAAATCGTTGGCAATCAGAACCGTCCAAGATTGATATTGGCAGGTATTCGCTCCTAACATACAATCAGCAGTTGGCTAATTTGTTTTTTTGACTTGGCTGATCTGTGTAATGATTTCGTCATGTAAATAATGTGAGCCAGCAAAGTACATGAGTATGAATTCATGTTTTCAGCATGTGTTAGGTCTACCCTACCCTACCATCTTATGGGTTTCATATCAGTGTGTTCATTTAGTCCACAAAGTGCTTAAAGGTATGGGAACTGCTCAGTGCAACCCTTTCTTTTGGACAAGTTTATGGTTGAGATTTCTTCATGCATTGGGAGTTTTTGGATCTGACCATAGAGAGAGGATACTAACTCATAAAACGCATTAAGGACAGTCATCAGTGTTTCAGAGGTACCAATTTACAGTAAGACTAGCCTTATGAATAATTTAAAATGATTTTATAGCTAATAAAGAGGTCATAGACACCTTAAAAATCATTAATGAACAGTTGTCTAAAAATATAAATAAAATATAAATAAAAAGAGCAACAGTGAGCTGTTATATCTGATGAATATAAACATCTGATGAAGCTGATATGTATAATGCTGACTGATGGAAAAGACAAAGTAAGATGTGTAGCAGCAAGATCCGAGGTCTAACAGTATAGATGAATATGGGCTCACTATCTGGCAAGCAACGGGTCACTGTTGCCCTTTTTATGTATGTGTTGTAACTATTTATTAATGATTTTTTAGATGTTTATGACCTATAACCATTAAAAACTAATTCATTCAACTAATTCATAAAGTAAAGTTTACCATTTCAGGATGCTGGAAACCTATAAATTCCAATATTTCCCCCTGCACATACATAATTATATACATATTGAGGGACACCTACTTCAAAAACTGTCCGAAGTCCTCACAGACACTTTCACAGCCTGGCCATTTGCACACTCCATGACCATAGAGGGAATGTGAGTGTGACGCTCCAGTCTCTTCATGTAACGAGCTGTGAGAGAGAGGTGGAGAGAGACAGAAAGGGCGGGGGGGTGGCGTCAGATTTCTTCACAAAGGGGCACAATAGCTGGAGGCTGCTTGTGCCTGTCAGGTTACAATCAGTGACAATCGGGTCAAAGCAGGTCAATTCAGCTCAGTTCTCCAGAACGGTTCAATTGGCAGGGCTAGCGGAGGGAGGAGAGGGCATTAACGGGGTGGCAGCTGCTCAGAAAGGCCGGAAAAGCAGGCAAACGGCCCTTCCGTGGTACCACTGTCAGATCATTGATCCAGAGGGCAGGCGAGGAGCAAGCAACGTGTGAAAAACAGCTGTGCGGCCAAGCAAAATCAGCCTCCGACATTTTTTCCAGCGACTTTCACCTTGTAAAGCTATTAAAAGCCACTCATGTAAACAGTGAAAAAAACAGACCCGGTGCTATAATTTTCATCAGGAGATTAATTTGTAGGGTAACCGCCGTTTTTAAGGACATGGCCTGGTGTGAAAAGCCACCAGAGGAAGTTACGGTCTCACTTCAGGCCTGTTAGAGCTAAGAACTAGACTTGGGATACAGGCCTAAGAGGAAGAACAGGCCTCTGTGTATGTTTGTGTGTGTGTGTGTGTGTGTGTGCATGTGTGAGAAAGACCTCACTGGCTGTTTTATACCGCATCGCTCTGCCGGTATTGATCGGCTCCCGTTAGTAAGCTTTGACAATACTCCATGCTCGATCATTACGAGAGGCTGCAGACCCTTGAGACACTCTTAACCACAAAAAGAGAGTTTTCTGTTTCCAGCATTATTTCCTTCCCCCTGCGTTTAATTCTGCTTTTCTCTCTTTCAAGGGAAGACTGTTTCTGAAGATATATTTTTTCTGAGTAGGGCTTAAGTGGCTGCTCAGATAGCATCTGCTTTAACCCAATTACACAATAGCTCCACCGCCAGTGAAGTCGACGGCTGGTGCTAGTTACACGTCGCTCGCGTGGCAGCAGGAGCCTGAATAATGCATGGAGCAGGTAGACAGGAATGCAGAACACTGTTTCACACCGGCAGAGCAGCAAATAAAAGGACCATCACACGGATAAACAGCGTGGAAAATGCCACGCCGGCATCAGGTATTCTGTTTACATGACAAGCTGTACGGGCGAGGTAATTTCAAAAGGAAAAAGCAGGCGCTAAATACTTAATGTACAGTGAGGTTAGCTGTTTGTGCCTGCTGTTGAGAGATGCACCTCCATGCTTTTGATATAAGTGGAAGACAGTGCGTTCAATGAGCGCACAGTCCTCAGATCCCCAGGGAGCTTTTGCCTTGTTTTGACTATTATTACACATGCTTTAATAAAGTATTGATGAGCAAGCAAACAAACAAGAAAATATTATGCTCTCCCTTTAGGAAGAAAATATGTCTCTCTTGTTCTAAATGGGGACAAATACAACCGTTCTTTTTTTTTCACACATCAGATGATGTCTCACATGAAAAGGAGTTTAAACAGGCGCCTGCAGTTTGTGTTTGTGAGCATGTGTTGTATTTATACATACATTAGATGCTCTATTTATGTGTGTATGCCCAGAAGGAAGACGTAAGAGAAAATATCAGCATGTGAATTCCATGTGCGGGTCTGTATGTGCACGCATAGCACATGTAGGCTTGAAAAGCATGTGCCTGTGCAAACGTGAATGTGTATGAAGGTACCTCTCTCTGCGGTTGTTGAGGGCTGGAGACTGGCCGTTGGAGATGGGGTGGTGGGAGATGGGTGGAGAAGCTTTGGAGGTGGTGGAGGAGGTAGTGGAGGAAGAGTTGGTGGTGCTGAGGTCCAGGCCGCTGTGCTTCAGGCCGTTATCCTCTATGGTGTGGCCGCCAGTCACGTCCTTCCACAACTGCTGGAGCTCGGCTGGGCTCAGGCCAGCTGCATAACACAAACAACAAAAAAAAAGTTTAGTCAAGTCTGTTTGGACACATCTGATCACTTCACCTAACATTAACCGGCTCCTATCCTCCTTCACATGCTCTTTGTAAAAACAGACAGTAAAATAAGCGCTGGAAGTAGAGTAGATAGACCTGCGCTGTTCTGCTGAGTCAAGCACTCTCCATTTAAACTTGCCAAAACTCCATTGTCTCTTTTAAGCATCTGCAGATAGACTGGGGTAAGATCCGCTTGGACACTCATCTCTTGCTTGCTCTTCACTTCAGACCCAGAATCCAAAAAGTGCCAGCCTGCTAGACTCCGCCAGCAGTGTAGAAACTCATCTAGCCATGATTATACCTTCACAAACAAGCTTCTGTCTGCAAAATCATATCATCATGTAATCCCTCAGTTGAGACAACAACAATTCTACTCCAGAACATTCCAACAGCACTGCAATTAAGAGCCATTTCGCCACTATTGTTATCCAGCGCCATTTTGGTAACCACTGTAGCACCAGGTGCTTATTCCAGCAAAAGCAAATGGCAACGGCTCCTCGTCTTCTCCTCTCTGGGCTCGCACTGCAAGGCAGTAAACAACAACAACAACACCAGGGAGGGAGGAGGGGAGAGAGAGAGAGAGGCAGAGAGAGAACAACAAGCACACAGACACAGGCACCAGCCCTGAGAGAGAAGAGACACAGAGAGAGAGAGAGAGAGAGAGAGAGAGAGTGAGGAAAAAGAGACAGAGTGCAAGAAAAGGGGAGAGGAGAGAGAAAGAGTGAGAGAGGAAAAAGATTAGAGAGATGGAAGAAGAGAGGATAGAGAGGGAATAACAGATAAAGAGACAAGAAATTGAGACACCAACAGGGAAAAGAAAATGAAAACACCATGAGAGACATACAAGTGAGGTAGAAAAAACAGAAAAAGAGAGAGAGAGAGAGAGAGAAAATCAGAGAGCAAGTTAAAGACAAGACACAACAGAGAGAGAAAGAGAGAGAGAAAGAGAGAGAGAGAGAGAGAGAGAGAGAGAGAGAGAACAGAGAGAAAATCAGAGAGAGAGCAAGATACAGACAGAACAGATAGAGAGAGAATAAGAGAGAGAGTGGGAGGGAGAGAGAGAGAGAGGGGATAGAGTGAGCATAGCAGAGAGCTATGGACAGACAGAGCATGTGAGTGTGAGTCACGTGACATTAGCGGAAGCGCTGCGCGGGGGCTTTACCTGGCGGTAGGCTCTGTCCTGGCAGGGTGGGCTGTCCTGGGCCTGGGGGCAGAGAGAGCAGGCCCTGCCGTTGCATGTTCAGCAGGTGCTGCTGCTGCTGGAGCTGCTGCATCTGCAGGAGCTGCTGTTGAAACACCAGCTGCTGCGCCGCTAACTGCTGCTGATGCTGCTGCTGCTGTTGCTGTTGCTATAGTGAGAGAGACGGAGATAGAGCACACACACACACACACACACACACACACACAAATCACACACATTAACAAGAAAGTGTGCGCTTGCCATACATATGACCCTACTGCTGTTTTTCCTCTTCCCTTCTTTTAACTCTCTCCTTCCCTCTTCCTCTTTCTCTCTCTCTCTCCCTCTCTCTCTTTCTCTGTGCCTGTGGGAGTGTGTAGTGTATAATATGAGAGAGGGTGGGTTAAGGGGTGAGTCTCCTCCCTCCCATCGCAGATAGTTAATTGTCTTGCATTTCTAATGGTTTATTACAGCTTATGGGGCTGCAGGGAGAGAGACAGAGTGAGAGAGAGAAAGGGGGCGAGAGACAGAGAGAGAAGCAGCCAGACCCCAGCCCCCCCCCCTCCCCCAGCCTTGTTTACTGCCAGCTTAGTCTGCCTCTTGCATAAGCTGGAGCAAAACAACAACAACAACAACAACAACAAAAACAACAACAACAGCAGTGGCAAGCAACAGCAGAAAAACAAAGCGAGCTGAATGCGATCAAAGCATAGCCACAGAGCATGACGCATTGTTTCACTCTCAAAAATAAAACAATAAATTAGGAAATTGAGGTTAAAACCAAAAAAACTAGAGGGAGCATCTAGCTGAGAGTGAAAAACATCCTTTAATTTCCATTCAGCCTGTGATGTGACTGACAAGCCAAAGCTGTATCTGTGCTAAAGTGTTGTATCTGTCAGAGTCTAACACTATGGAGTATTTTTATATTCTATGAATTGTATCTGTCAAAATCTACCATTATATAGTATTTCTATGTCCTATGAATTGTATCTGTCAAAGTCCACTACTATGCAGTACTTCTACGTCCTATGAATTGAATTCGTTGCGAGGTTTTTAGGGGCCTGTTTTAAACATGTCTGAAGTTTCGTCTCTCGGTGGACTATGAACATGGTCTCCAGAGGTCTATTAGTAAACTGGGATCTAGCAAAGGGTTTCCATAGACACCCTGCAAGCCTCAGCTTTCTCTCTCTCTCACTCTCTCTCTCCTGCTCTTCTGCTGTCAGAATATATTACAACCAAGTACTCAGTCAAAGGCGGCAAAAAAGGGACCCCCATTACAGGAGAAAAGTCTAACTTCCCATTTTTTGCCAGGAATTACAAGAACGAGTGGAGTAGAGCAGGCCCCAGAGGAGCCCTTCAACACATCACACTTCAGCTTGAGCCTCGGACACACTCGCTGCTGAGGAAGACCTTTCTCTTTTAGTTTTAGGAAAGAGAGAAGAGGGAGGGAAAAGAGAGGCAGAAAAAGAGGTATAGAGAGGGGGGCAAAAACTTGTGAAGCGCTCACTGGAAAACAGCCTGCATAATGGAGCAAGCTGTGTGGATTGGCCCTGGCGTCTCGAGAGAAATAAGGGAGCAATTTCTATTCCATATTTGATGGTAGAGGCCTGCGAAAATTCTATTCACAAATCCAAACAGAAACAAAGCCTCCGGGAGGTCAGGCCTGCTTCCTGTAGGTCCTGCATAATGGGCCACGGGAAAAGAAGCGGGGCAGGGGGGGGGGTCTACCATACCTAGCTGATCAATTTAACTGCTTCAACACGTTTTGTTTGGATTTGTCCCACCCCCTCCCACTGCGCTCTGCTTTTGATGCCTGTCCCTCTGTGTCTGAGTCTCTCTCTCTCTCTCCCTCTCTCTGTCTGTCTGTCAGATGGGTCTGTGAACTGACTGTCAGCGTGATTTATGAGCGTGTTGTGGTCGAACTTTTTCGGCTCGCCGGGCCCGAACCCACAGTAGTGCTTCATTAATCAGCGGACCCTGTCCCGTCCCACGCTACGAAGGGCCTTTAACAGCACTCTCGCTCTGCATCCTCCGCCAGCCTGACACCTGCCAAAGCCCTGCGTCTGTCCGCCGTTGTACCCCTGTCAGCATGGAGCTTTCTTAGCAGCCATTAGAACACATTCTCTGTATAGACTTTGCCTATAAAGTTTGCTTTAACATAAAAGAGGAGAGACTCCTTCCAGCATTCCATGGAGTCAGCAGAACAAGTTTTACTGCTGAGCAAATAAGATGGACAGGATAGGGGCTTTCTGCTGTTAAAGTAATACTCTAGCATTTTCTAAACTAACCTCTGTCTGCTGCATTTGTAGCATACGGTCGAGTACACCAGGCAGTAATTTTGGCACCTTTCCCTGTACTTAGGAAAAGAAAAACTGTTGATTCAAAACACACTTGTAATGGAAGTAACATGCTTATAATCGAAGCAGCAGACTGAGATTAGATTGAAAATCACTAGTAGAAGTGGGCAAAGTGATAATATTTTATCGTTATCCTGATAAATAACTGGATAACATCAGAACTTAAAGAACACTGACCAACCGTTTCATTAAAAAGAGAACATTATTGTATAATTAGATTGAGTGTAGCACAGTATATGAAATGCTGAATAAACATGACTGGTGGCAGTTTTTAAATGTAGCACTACTAGTGCATTGTGTCTGTATCAAAATATTGTGAAACATATTGTGTATCTTATGTATTGTGATATGATATTGTTGCCATGTTGCCCACACCTAATCACTGTAATAGTCCTTAAATTCACTGAATTTGTATGTGTTAGGGCTGCCCTGCTTCTGATAACATTATAACAAAATCGTTCTTTGTAATACTGACAGCACAGAAAGATGCAACATGGAAACTGAACCTCTAACCAGCCACAATGCTTTCTACTGTGTGCTGTGAGCATCTTGACCACAGTTCCAGCTCCACATGAATCAAGTTAAAAAGTACACTATTTTGGTCAACGTTGCATTATTGATTCACTAAAGCCGTTTTATTATACTTCATGCTGTATCGCAATCACAATATGTAGAAACAGAATCACAATACTAGTATTCTGTCCGTATGGGCAGCCCTGTGTATGTGTATACATTTATGAATGTATGTTGCCATGCTGTACCTCTTTTGCCTGTTTGCTGGGGTGCTGCTGCTGCAGAAGCTGGAGGTGGAGTTGCTCCTGCTGCTTCTTGTAAAACTCCTGCAAGTGTTGCTGTGAACACACAGTCATACAGTCAGTGAAGGATGGTTCTGTGGATCCTCTGAGCATAGACACTAATATAAAACTATGACAGTAACCTTAGTGATAGCACATAATAAATAACAACTACGCAAATGGACTGAATTGAAAGTCCAGTGTTTTTCAGTCTTTTGGGTGCTCTTCTTGTTTTTCATAACCACAAACAGAAAATCTGCCACAGAGTTCCCTGAGTTCATTCCTGATGGCTGAAAAACAATTGAACAAACAAATCTGCGGCCAGAGCTGAGCTACTGTGGCCGCACCACAGGCCTGAAAGCGCTGCTGGGTGCTCATAAATAACCTCCGCTCTGAGGGTGAGCGTCGCGGACTAGCACTTCCCCTCGCACTTCTCCATATGGGCCTCAAATGTGCCTGCACGATACTGCATGAGGACCGATTAATCACCTGCACTATATATTTCTCCTCTTGATGCCTTGACAGGCAGTGAAATGCTGAGGTGAATACAGCACACTCGGAGGAGTAGATTCATCACTGTGAATTAATGCCTTTAACACACTTCTGCTCTCGTCCACCGAGGGCTGGCCTTATGAGCCCTGCTAGAAACATGGCTGTTCAGTTTTTAGCAAGAGACGTCTCAATGCAGACTTCATTAAAAGAGCAAAACTAATGAAATTAGGGCTGTGCTCACATTCCTAGCAGCATTTTTAACCATTTAAACTCTCAGAGACCCATATGCAGGCCCACACTTCTATTATAAAACGCGAGTTCCGGACCTAAAATCTGTTTATCTGAGCCACATTTAAATGCCTTACATCACCGATACACGCACATCTATCAGAGCCTGACTGAATTCCATATTACTGTGACGAATCAGCATGTATATAAAGTAAATGTACTGGACAGTACTGAACATACCTACCCTACATAAGAACCTGGTTTTCTTTAAACCTATTTTAAACAACAAGAACTAGGTGGATTAACTCGGCAGGTACTGTGTTTTTTATTACAGTAAGAACAGCGAACAGTATTACATATTATAGTTATAATAACAAGAAAGCAGCAAAGAATAAAGCAATAAGCCTTGAGAGGCTGTGTTTTGCAGAGATTTTACTACAGGTAAGGGGTGTTAGTTCCTAAAACCCCATTAACTGTGGTAAAAACACTGTAAAGTGAGGCATCTACTATGTGCTATGCACATTATCCATGTACTAATATGTACATGGATAATATACGTCTTAGCACATAGTAGTTACTGAATAATTCATAGTAGTTCATTTTAATAACTGAACAATAGGCCTGCAGTTTAAGGGGTTAAGAGAGCGTCATGTTACACATGGTCTGGCTAGTAATGCTTGGGCATGCTGAAGTCTCTCCTGTCAGCCTTGCTTATGTCTATGCTGTGTCAGTCTCTGAAAGATGTCCCTACTGAAAACACCTAATTATACGCCTGTCCATTATTGTTTCCTTCATCTAACATCAAGGACAGGAGCAGGACATGAAGGATGCATATACTTCTATATGAACTGAAACTGTTTTGAAAAAGTCCATAAGCAAATATATAGATGCAGGATTAGATGTGGATTAACGTCAGTGTATTTCACTGTGTATATGCGTCTACCTGCTGTAGCATGACTGCCTGCTGTTGCTGTAGAAGGGCCTGGAGCTGCTGAGGGGAGAGGACCTGCTGCTGGAGGATTTGCTGCATCTGCTGGGGAGTGATGACCTGCGGACTCATCATGGCCACTGACACCGGCACCTGGAGACAGAGAGAGAGAGAGAAAATCGAGAGAAAGAAAGAGTAAGGAGAGAAACAGATCAGTCCTATTTCTCCTTCAATTCACTGATGCATGTGTGCAGGGCTGAAGCACTGCTATATCCCTCTTGCTCGAGCCCTGTGAACAGCAAGCTGTATGCGTGCTGTGCTGTGTGTGTTTTTAGATTTTTTGTCAGTTCCCTCAATGGGAAAAGCATGGCACTTTAAATAGTAGAGGACCTTAATTAGCTGAACCTTTGAACTCCCTTAGGCATTCCCCGTGCTACGCATTTCTACTAGACAGCAGGAACACTTGGCCTGTAGAAGTACAGAGCAGAGACAGATACAGACTGCGCGTGTTTGCATGTGTGCTCTCTGCTTTTTCTCTCTGTGTGAAGAACCCACTGAAGTAGAGCTCCAGCTTCTTCTGTTTATAGGAAGGTGAGTGGAATTACTAGTTGCTTCAAACCGTGCACTGAAGTTTCTCAAGTTGCACTCTCACACACGAAAGCAGCCAGAGGCACAAATCCTCTTCAAGATGCCATTTTAAAAAATTCATGTCATTTTTTAGGTGATGAGAATCATTAAAATACCAGCTGTCAAACTGTGCGGAGAGAACTTTTTTTGTGTGTGTGTGTGTGTGTGAGACAGAGAGAGAGTGAAAACAAAACAAAGAAAATATTTTTCCAGCCCAATTCTTATTAGACAGCAGTGACTTCAGAAACAAACAGATCAATAGAGCAAGTGGATCCAACTTTTTCTCTGTGTTGCACACTACGACTGCCTGTGCACATATTAGCAGGAAAATGCGTGCAAAATCCCATACATTAATTCATCCCAGTTTTTCTACATGCTTAAAAATTAAATACTGAGTATTCAGATTAAAATATGTTTACTCTGCATGGAGAGGCCAGGAAACAGAGACATCGAGGAAAGAAACTCTAACTCAGTTCAACCCAACTCAAACATTGCCACTGAGCGCACTTACATGCACACCAATAATAAGATCATTATCTGATTTCAGCATCATCAATTATCAGATTAGTCAAGTGGTCATGTAAACAACATATGCCAATCTAAGATTAAAGAAATATGATAGAGACTTTTTCAGCGTAATATGATTTCTTTCATTTCTCTACACATAAGCAAGCAGAACTAGAAAGTAAGTTCTCTGCGAAGCTGTAAACACTACTTATTTAAACACTACAACCACGAAATGGCAGTATTATGTGCTGTCTGAAGCCATATTAACTTCCAAATAATCATTTACCAGTAAAGGGACACAATGTTAAAAGGAAAAGTGCAAGAAGTTTCAATTTTACGTCCTGTGCTGCATTTCTTTGGTGAGTTTACCGCCGGGTTGCCAGGCAACGGTAGAGGTGCACGTCGAGTATTTAGAAAGAAATTTGGTGACTCATGTAGACCTAGAGTTTTCTCATTATCAGATTATTGAAGTGCTTGTAAACGTGCTGAACAAATTATCGCCAAAATCTGATTTTCTGCAGTTATCAGATTACTTTGTACAAGTAAACGTACTGTCATATGAAAATTTCATACTTTGATTTTTATTAGTTCTGTTTTTTTCATACTACTTGAAAACACATGCTTCCCTTTACACTGTGTGAATATTTCTTGATGAACGGACCAAGAGAAATGGTTCTAAAATAGTAGATAAGAATGTATTTTTGTCCTATAAAGGTATCATTTCAAAGATAAGGGCTTACGTTATGACAGCTATAACTTAATCGCGCAAACTTTGAGGAGGTGTTTTCATTTTGGCTTAAAAAATGACACAGAGCAGAGTGTAAGTGTCGGCTACTGTGTTGGGCTAGTGGACTCTGTGGTGTGAGGCCGGTGTGAGGCTGGTGTGTGGGGTGTGTGTCAGGGGGCTGTGGAGATACGGGCGCTCCTCACGCCGGCTAATCAAGCTGCTTGATTGCTTTCCATACATCCGAGCTCTCGGGGCCTTGACACGTCCTTGTTTTGCTCTCCTCGCTCGCCCTGGCTCAGGTTCCCCTCTTTGATTAGCAGAGACATTTGCATGGTCACTACACATTTTTCATTTTAGAAGTCATTATGCATTAGCGCTCCTGATCGCCCAGCTTGACTAATCCTGATGAACTGAGTCGCACAGCTGAAGGTCACACTCTATCCTCACTGCACATTCATATTCATATTCAAACAAATCCAAGCACCATTCTTCATTAGACTGGCCCCAAAACTCAACAAGCTCTGCCATGGAAGAGCTGACACACACACAGCCAGACACCACACACGCACTCTCTCTCTCTCTCTAACACTCTCTAGGGGAAGAGAAAGTGATAGGAGAGAAAGAGGGAAAAAAAAATAAAACAAAGAACAAAGCAACAAAGTCACAAATTAAACAGCTGCATGTAATTATGCAAATGTATGCTTACACCTTCAATGTTATTAAACCTTAAGACACATTTGTGATGTGTAATTACCCCCAGGTTCAAGCGGGGTTCTGCGTTGGACTAAATGACAATACAAAGACCAAAGCACAGAAACGCAAGAGGAGATGTTCTCATTACGCTCATTATTTGTCTATTTAAATGAGCTTTTGGTGAATAACAAAAGAAACCTTGGTGGCTCTACAGTCCACTGAATACAATAAACATGTAAATTTCCGCACAATGCAGTATTAGTTTATTTATCTATCCGGTCCGATTACGTGCGGTAAAACAGGCGCCGAGCGGGGCGCCTGAAAGCATGTGATTCCTAATCGTTTCAGAGGCAGCGAGCAAGAAGCCCGTCCTGACAAAAGGAGAGAGAAAACAGCAAACAAATGAAGTCAGGAAGCGCCTTTCAGCCTTTCATTAGCTTTTTAGTGGAGAGATGGATGATAATCATCTTCATTTCATCGCTCTTCCAAACAAAAAGAGGCGAGAGGAGAAAGGCAAAGTGGAGGGCCCCGGCCCATTCACTGCGAGCCCTGCACAATGCTAATTCCAGCATTTAACGGCATGCTTTTCTGCCTGATGTATCAGAGCTTGAAAGATGAAAGCAGATAAGTAATTGCTCTCCTGGTTCTTATTCTTCACTGACAACCCATAAATTTAATTTTACACACACGTTCATTTACATTTTCGAGTATATGACATGATAATTGGCGGAATATAACACCTCCATTCCGCTGGATACTGCACCGGGGGATGATTGACAAGTCGGGTGAATTGAAAGGAACAGAGGCTGAATTGCCTCTCCTGGAAATGATTTTGCAGAGAAGGGACAAAATTAATGAGCATTTACAGGAAGGGTCGAGCGGTAAACAGCCGCAGACAATAGGCAGCTCTCTGGCGCAGACGCCACACCAAGAGCATAGCCATGATAGTCAACAAAAGAACACCCCAGCGGTACGGCCAAAATTCTATTACCACACACTCGGGACAAATGGGATTCTTAAAGAATCATCTAAAATCAGCCCCACTGGAGACCTTGGCTGAGGACACTGATTAGAGACTGTTTTCACTGACAAAGTAATAAAGACCTGGATCCTCTCTCTGTTTGGATTCACAGCCTTTCTGAACAACTATTGACTTAATGCGGTCAAAAATAAAACGAGGTCTCCACTGTATTTCCAGGCGAAATAAAGAATGAAATAAAAGCTAGCCAGATGATCTCCATTGACCTGCTCTTCAGAGCTATGAGCTTCTGCACCTGAGAGAAAAGTGCACAACAAAGACCTTCAAATTGGCTGGTGATGAGAAAACATCACTGGTCCTCATGAAGAACAAGCACATCTTTATGGGGTTCTCACCACACTTAAAGCCCTCTCATTCTCTCTCTCTCTTTAACTCCCTGTCTCTCTAAAAAAGGCTATCTTCTCATGAGCAGCAGGCAATTGTTAAACTGTTCTCTAGTCCATACTAGAAAAGAGGGCCAGTGTGTAGGGAAAACAGGAAAGGATAAAGGGCAAATAAACAGTGTTGCTGTCTTTGTTGCCTGTTGCGTTAAAGAAAAGTTTCAGCCAGAAAAATCGGCCAAAAGAGCTCAAAGTTATACCTGGTGAAAAAGACACAAATGTCATTCTTCCATGTGAGATACTTCTGTTCAAACCTGGATAGAAGCTGGTACAGACATCAGGTGGTAAACACCTGACAAAGTCAGTGTGCAGTGGCATATAATATGCCTAAGCCATGCAAAGGCAAGAATAAGGCACACTCTTAGTTCCACTTATTAGGAGCTGTAATGTGTTTTCCCCATTTCAAAGCACTGCTCACTTCTCTCCCACTAGTCTGACAAAGACATGCAACATTTGCACTACTGGTTTATCCTCACTACAACAGCCAGGAGTACTTTGTGAGATTATCACCAGCCAGGCAGGGTTAGAGCCAAAACAGTTAGCGCAAGCCTGTTCAATTCACCATTTCCGCACCATTCATAGGCTAAGTAAAGGAAAGCGCAGATTAGATGTGTGGAATAGGCAGGCAGGCTGCTGAATGGGATGAATAATGTGGCCACTTCAGAGGAGGGGACGATGGCGACACTCGCCACAGATACTGTTAAGATAAATAAAATGAGAAATGGAGGGGCGTGGGGTGGTAATTGCTTCAGCCGCTTGGCTGTGAGAGCCACCGTGTTAATTAAGGTGTAAAAGCCTGGGTTTGATCAGAGAAATGAGGGGAGAAGGAAGAGGGAGAGGAGGAACAGTGGAGGAGAGAGAGTGGGATTCCACACTCGCTAATTCATCTCAATCCCAGACTCCGGAGGGACGACAAGTCCCAAAGTCAGACCACCATGGAGCGCTCAGGCTGACCCCTCCACTTCTGCTGAGCTGACACTGCTAATTCACTCTGCAATTAATAGCCATGGCAGCCGAGGCTTTATTGATAGAGGGGCTGCTTTACTGAAGAACCACCAGGGTACAGGAGCAGCAGCCAATGAAGATACAGATATAACATACACTCTTTCACATACCTTTACAATGATTCTCTCAGACATGCACACAAAGAGAAAGATCATTCGGATTAGGGGATCAATGCGAGTGATCCTCGGGACCAGAGTTAAGTAGATTATGGGAACGTTTTCCCAAATCAATTTATTTTGCAGTTCAGCAACACACTATGGGAAGTGTAATGCATTTAAAGTGATGATAAAGTGGATGTAGTGCTCCATTAGAAGAGCTAAAGGGGTAATGGTGATACAATAGACCCTCCACAAAGATTTATCTCCATGTAGATAATCATGCTTTCATTTCCATCAATACAGGGAAGGATCACACACGTTGTACTACAGATGGAGACTTCTGTGCTGAGCCTGGCTGCGCTTTCCAGGAAGCTGTAATGAGCCTTAAAGAGCTGGGGAAGAAAAGCAGAGATAAAGTAATGTACGGAATTGAAGGAAAAAACCTTTCAAATATGAATGCACCACAGCTAACAAGTGCTATTGATCATGAGCCACGTAAGACGAAGCAAAGGCTGCGGATGCTCGCAGGCTACTATAAGGGTTTTTAAGGACTTTTAAATTCATTTCTAAAAAAAAAACTCATGTCCACACTACCATAATTAAAGGGGTGTATTGTGTAACATTCACAAGGCACACTCTTGAGTCCCCCTCTCTCTCTCTCTCTGTCTGCTCTCTGATGTCACAGGTAATAGGGAGTCCATCGGATCCAGCGCCTCATCAAATGACACACAATAAATTACACAAGCTTCAAGCAGCTTGGCGAATTCTAGTTCATCACTTGGAAAGACTTCCCTCCACTGGGCTACACATATCAGATCTGCCAGTTAGGATCCAATTAACACCCTGGCCAGAGTAATCAGATTGCATGTGTAAGGGCTGCTAGAACTCGTTTATTGCTCCCATGAATCTTCTGTCAGAAGGTAAATTTGTTGCTGCTACATCAAAGCGCTGTGGCACTCTTTTTTTCCCTCCCCCCCTTCTCCCTACCTCTAGCCTTAGGGTTATACTCCAACTTCTTTTGCATCACAATGATGAATCCTGCGTGCTGTCCCTTGCAATTTACCCAGCCGGGAAAGTAAAAAAAAAAAAAAGCTTGTTTTCTGGTTACAAAGGCAATAACTGAAGGTATCCAAGAGAGAAATATGCCGACATACTTTTAACCCTGCAAAGGTCCCCCATGTAAGTCTTTTCTTTCCTCTACAATAACCGTTCGTTTCTCCATTTCTCCTTGCGATCCCACCAGGGGGAGCGGACTTAATAATAAATGTTAATGTGGGAGCATATGTCTCTCTATAAATTCAGCTGGCTTTTTCGCACGGTTCCAGTTGGTAGACTAAGTAGATGAATTTTAAGGAACATGGCGCAGGAATGTGGTGCTTTTGATGAGATGTGTGCGGCAGTGACCTTTAAAACGGTGACACCCTGAGGATGGCCCAGTGCGCACGGCGTGATTGGGTGGGCTATCTCCCAGCCCTGTACTCTCTTTTCATCCAGAAAACCATGCCAACCACTAGGCCTGATGCAGACCTCCATCCAGCCTGGTGCAAGGGGAGGGAACTGTGCAGAAAGAATAGAGCGAGAGCTGAGAGAAGGTCTTTTTTTCCGTTTAAAAGTTGCATTTGCTTAGTGAGTGCTGGACCTGGGGTGTACCAAAGGTCAGCGTGTCCAAAAGCGGTTCCTTTCGTCCATGGAAACACCAGCCCTCGCAGGCCTGTGGCTGTTTGTGCTGTGCTAGTGGCATGTCCGTGGGTGCTGAGGCTCAAACTGCTTTTGTTCGCTTTCTCATTGTGTTCCTCTGACTCGTTAATGCTTCCCTAGAACTCACAGGCCCTGCTCAGACCACAGGGCAGGGGTCAACGCTCCCTCTTTACACTCTGCTCTGACATCTAGGCGGCCGTGCTCGATCACATCACCCCCCACACTCATACACATGTTGGCATGGCAGGCCGGGTGTTTGCACAGCCTGTGTTTTCTCGCCATTCTCATTCAGCGCGCACCTTGCGTGTGTCAGCGCTGAGCTCTGGCAGCTGTTTCTACTCTGCTAAATGCCCATTCTGCCGCCAGGATGAGGCGATTAGGTGGCCTGCACGCATCGGCGGAAGAATGGAGCCTGACAATGGCAAACAAACAAACTAACACGCGGCTTAGAGATGTGGAATGACAACTGAGCTGATCTGGAGGGAAGGGGGGGTGGGTGTGGGACACGATTGTCAGGCGCAAGAGCTGGCTGTAATCCGCCTTCCCTTACGTCCTCGCCGCTTCTTTATTTGTGTTTTAAATGTCAGTGTATAAAATGTGGAGGAGATATTGCCATGCGGAGAGAGAAAAAGGCGTGGAGACGTGAGAGGGCTGTTGTGTGCCTTGGGAAATCCTTGTAAGCAGTGTGGCGAAGGCGCGGGGATTTACGGGAGAGAAATAGGTGTTTATTGAGTGCTCCCGTGGGCTTACTGGGTAATAATAGACCTGTCACATTACGCAAATGTGGAAAAGCAGCTTGTGTGCACGTCAACAGCCTCCGATGAGGCAACGGATAGAATTAGTCAGGCGAGAGCCTTTAGACACTAATGCAAGTAATTAAAACTGCACGCCGCAGCACTTAGATGCTAGTGTGGTAAATAATTTATACGGCATGATGTATGGATCGTTTCCCCTTCCTCCTGCGAGGAAAACGGCGGGATTTGTCAGTGTCGGGTGTAAACGGGCTCTCACTTACTGAAACGAGGGGCCAATCAAGCAGGGTGCTTGCGCGCCACCGAGTAAGCTGTTGACTGTTTACGGCATTGCTGTCTGAACCGGGAACTAGTCGACGAACTGAAAAAAAAATACGAATTGAATACAAATCTGACAGAAACTGGATCGCAGTTTAAAAGTTTACCTTTCCCAAGACAGTCTGTCCATTTATACCAAGAGGAGAAGATGTTAATAAAGGATGGCCCAACAGCAGTGATTAACTACAGCCTGTTATACATGACTCAACAGGCCCCTGATTCATATTGATTCATATGGCTAACATGAGGCAAGGATGGAGTAAGCAAATGTAAATATTCAATATTTACTATCCTCTAGTGTTATTAGAGTCAGAGTCTTGGTCCTTGGTCGACAGTTATCACAGACGTTCCTCAGCCAATATCACTCTGCTCTCGTCTAAAGTATTGTGCCGTACGTGTGGCAATTTGCAGTCACACAGAGTGCCGGGAATCCATTCTCTAAGTATACAGAGGGCTGGGAAAATTCAATAGGCTCAGCGTATTCAATACTGCGTCCTGCTAGACTTTGTTTTACAACTAATGTCTTGCACTCTGAGGAAAAGAAGAAGAGAAAAAAAATCCCGAGTTATGAATTCTCTCATATAAGATGCGTATTTGTAGTGATAAGTCTGAGTGTATTAACATTCAGAACAGAATTGATTTGGCTGATTCCAACGGCACCCTTCGCCAAGCTTATCTTTTGCCACCACATAATTAGATACACAGGGGTGTGACTCCAATTGAAGGTGTCGCCATTGTTATATTCTGTGAAAATATTAACGATGAGGGTTAACGCCAATTTTCCCTTTCTTTAATTAAATGCACAGAGTACTAATGAGGTAAACCACTACTCCCTGATAGCACTTATTAGCAGGGAGGAGAACACACACTCTCACACTTCAGTTTGAACCTAAAAATACAGAGCCCGGCAGATGTCAAGTGCTTACATAATTTCAAGCAGGAATCGAATGCTGCATTTGCATTGTGAAGATGTGAGAGAAATGGCCTAATAAGTTTCCCTGACAGGGAAGGAGTAAACAGCTCTAGCACGAGGGGAATGCATCACGCACAATGCTATCGTGACCTTTACCAAATCACTGACAACAGAAATAGAGCGCAGCTGGAATCAGTAAGGCAAATTATCTTGGTGGAGTTCAAATGGCAGCTACTTAGAATACACTACAGTGTGAGGAAGAGCTTCAGCAGGCTGCCATTCATACTGGTGTTCGTGTGCGCAAATGGACTATCTGTTGATTCATGTAAGGGTTATCCTGGAAAGCATGCATATTAATGTAATCATGCACAACTGAGTATGTGACATGCATGTTGTCGGAATGAGTGTTATTATTCATTCTTTGTTAGCAAGGATATTTTAATGCCACCCATTGCAATACTTCCACAGCAGGACATGAGGTGAAAACATCTGTCTCAGAAAGCCTGACAGAATGGAGGTACTGCTCAAGCGGACAGCAGAAAGTTTAGTAAAAGAATGATGTATCTTGTGCGAATGTGTGTGTGTGTGTGTGTGTGTGTGTGTGTGTGTGTGTTTCTTCGGAGAAGGGCAGACCTGACAGGTTTAGAATTTCAGTGACAAGTCCAGAATTACATTGCCAAATCAAACAGACTGGTGGAACAGAGGAAATCTTTTCCAGAGCACCATGTATTATGGATGGACTTAAGAGATTAGCGAGGAACTGCTCACCTGCAGCGGACGCTGTTTGTCGTTGTTCTTTGGAGACTTCAGGCCACTGCCTGGTTGCTGTAAGAGTAATTGCCTTGCTGCTTGTAGGGCCTGCAAAAAGAAAAGAGGAAGACGGCGGCAAAATTAGATATTTTTTGGCCTTTCCTCTATCCGACAGTATGACACACACGCACACATAGGAAAATCATGCCACCAATCCAAAGTCCTATCTGCCTTTGGTTTAACAATGAAGCCTGAAAAATACCGGATGCATATTATACATTTTTCATGATGATCCACCAAGCCGTGATGAAGAATAAATACAGTTTGTCTAAAGCACCCCTGAAGTGTGGGTGAAAAAACCACAGAGCGCGTCAGTAGAATTGACCTGTCTAGTGTGTGCTCAACTGAAATACCCACTTCTCTGCAAATTACCAGCCCATTTGCATATTCATAATATCAATTTGAAGTAGAGGCAGGCGATGTGAAGTGTTCCTACAAGCTGTAATTAAAGTTGACAAAATCAACATCAGATTACCTTAGGAGTGAATTAACAAGGAGCTGGGGTTTTACACTGTGCATTAGCGGTGCTTATGAGCAGAGAAGGGGAAAATGGGCTTTCTAGGCCTAATCATGCCGGCTGCCTACTGTGCCTTCTCTGAGGGGAAGACTGCTACCTAATGTTACAAACAGAGCAAATGCAATGAAACCAGGAAAAAAACACTTCTAGGTTGTTTTTTCCCCTCTTTTCTTTCTGTAAGTAAGATGATGACAATGGCAGGCAGGGTGGGATGATGTAATATGTTGTCCATGCACTGTATCCACAGCCGCATCTAGAGCTAAGCTCATAGTGAGGCCACTCTTATGACTTCTTTGCGCTTTATCCGACACAGAAAGGCAGAAGAAATAGGCCTCTCCGGTGCAGCTGCAAACTACGGCTCCCAGAAGCCCAACAACAATAGACTTTAAAAAAAATAAATAAACAAAACAATATGTTCACAGGTGTTGCTTCAAGTGGAGAGAGACAAGGTGAGGAGCGAGGGAGAAAGAAAAAACTGCTTCAGATAAAGAGTGACACTTCTTCCTGCAGAAATCAAGGGGTTGTTTTATTTTCTGGTGCTTGCCAGTATCCATGACAACAGCTGCCTTGACAGGATGTGCATATGGCACCGCTCTGCCAGCTGGTGAGAACAATGTTTGAACTAGTACATTGAGATGCTGAGCAAACAGGGAGAGGGAGAAAGAGAGAGAGGGGAGAAAGAGAGGGGGCGAGAAAGAGGGGGTGTGAGAGAGAGAAAGAAAAGGGGGAGAGAAAGAGGGAGAGAGAGAGAGAGAGGGAGAGAGAAAGGGAGAGGAAAAAAAGTTGCCACGTCTTAACCCTCTGGGATGGCAGCCATCCCCCTGATCAATTATGAAAAGACAGAGGCGAGGAGCTGCCACTGTCTGTCTGGCTGCGGCTCGGAGGAGCCAGGCTCTAGGAGCCCCAGTAAACAAACACAACACAGTGACGCTGGGTCCTAACAGCATCGATCTGTCTCCTCAGACACATGCACACACACAGCCCACTGATGTGGCCTTACTCTTCAGAGGACACTAGGGGCGGAGACTAGCGCTGGTGCACTTCACATTCCCTCCACTTCAGCCTCGAGCACACGCTGCCATTGTCTCCAAATGCCAAAGAAATGACAAGGACTGTCACTGAAGCCTAATAAATCGTCAATTTCTTGTTCACAGCCTGGAAATATCTCAGGGCCCATGATATCAGACTGCTTTACTGGTCTCTCCATTTTAATGTTGAATTGATTGATTAGTTATGGTGTAAGTGATGCTTTTGGACGCATGAGTGACTTATGAGCAGCGGCAAAACTTGCTCCAGGTCTCAAGTCATTACTGGTGAAGATTCGAGGTTGAGATTGTAAATTGCGGAAGATTTCACGCCCATCCAAGCGTTGATTGTGATTGTGGGGCTTTGGCGGTCGGCTAATGGGCTCGGCACAACAATTAACAGAAGGAAAATGTTTATCTGAGCTGGGATCAATACAGGCTCCCTGTCCTCGGGTGAACAAGGACAAAGTCAAAGACGTCACTCGATAAGATACTGGTAGAAGAGTGTGGTGCACGGTATAGAATGGCTTTTCCAGTAGGAATGGAGTGAAGAGTGTACAGGAAACCGATCAACTTCCTACTGCTTATTAGAGTAATCACGTTCTCAGGTTCTGAGAATTTCAGAGGCAGCGTCATTATTTTCAGCATTCGGAGGCCCCGAAATTCACCTGAAATCATCATCTCCCTTACCAACTGATATGCCCTTGACAGTTGTCATTAGTGACATCAATGCAGAGGCCATAGCAGCTTCTCTGCTAGGCTCTAATTCATATAGAAGCCTACACAAAGCTATATCAGATCCCCTCAAAACTTCAACAATAAGAGCTAAAGTAAGGCAGCCATCAAAACTTTGCTCAAAAGCCCGAACTGCAGAACGTGTCCATTTAAACCAGTGTTGCTGTGTGCAAGAAATGCCAGCTCCATTCCATTAATGCACACATTGTATAAACAGCACAATGTGCTGCATTCCTCAGAGCTAGGAGCTCAAGATCCCTGGCTAGAACATAAATAACAAGACACTCAGGAACATATTTGATGTTGATATCTATCTCTGAGGACCTGGAGAAAAAGAAACACACTCACACACACATTCTGCACACTAATACACACTCAAACACACACACACCTATGTGCATATACACCCACACACACTAGGACGCAAGCACGCAGCAGCTCAGGATCCTTATGAAAATAAGATTCAGCCCAAATGGATCTGCTGTAATTGGTTTCAGATAGCGAGGTCAGGAGAAAGCCGATACGAGCAACTATTATGCGAAACGGAGGGAGAAACACGAATGTTTACATAGGCACTCCCCAGCAACATTAATAGCTGAGCAGAGCTCAACGGAGAAGGAGAGGGAGAGAGAGAGACAGACGAAAGAAACATATGTCAGCTATCGCCCTCCTCCAAACCCCCCCCCCCACCACCATCCCTTTGCACGGTCTGTGTTTACACTTAATACAGCAGTAATAAGGAACACATCACAATGCACCTTTGTGAGACCATTCCCTAGCCTAAAACAAGCATGAAATACATTAGCAGCCAGCCGCAGCTTGGCACATCATTACAAACACGTCACCATTCCTCCAGACCACCACTTGAACCGCGCTTTAATAGCCAGATACAGACTCCATGGCTGTGACTAAAGGTATTAAAAGAAAACACAAACAGGGGAGAGATAGCATGCAAGATGAATTACCTCCTGAGGGTCAGAGGAAGTTGATTTGTTTGAGAAAGGAAATATATCCAAGTGATGTGGATTCTGAGGAATGCAGGGCCCATGAAAACAGGCAGGAACTGATGCGCAAATGCAAGCCTGTCTGTTTAGAGTGTAGTTAATGTGTAATGGGGGAAAGAATGCTGTCGGACTTGAGAGAACGTGTATTTAATAGATATAACAAGTCTACCAAAGGCACTGTTTTGATAATTGATTATATTACCTAATAAGTGCAGGTGTGTGAGGTAGGTTCAATATTAAGGCTTGAATTATACACTGTTTTAAAGATGATATTAGCCAATATTGACAACCGATGTTTTTTAGGGTATTTTTGCCTCTTAAAATTGAAACCGGTATCAGACACAAAATTTTCATAACAGTCAGGCTGTAATCAATATCACTGGAAAGCTGTAACTGGGCATTAAAGGTGGGAAATATGGCAAATATATCACAATACTTGAAGACACTTACACAATATATAATTAGTTGCACGGTATTTTGCTTTTCTGAGGGTTGCAAACATGTTGGAATGGACAAAATGCACCAGCAAAACAGTAATGATATATTTGCAGGGCTGGTGAAGCACAGTCGGTAAGACTGATGTCCTCCATGTGGCCGGTTGAGGTTTAATTCCATGTCTTGGCAAAGGCACCACACTATACCAATAAGAGTCCCTGGGCAAGACTCCTAATACTAATGCTACAGTCACCTATTTCTGGATTACAGGGTCTGCATAAGAGCATCTCTCAAATCCTGTAAATGTAAAAAAAGGACTGCATAAATGATCAGTGCAATGATTTTTTTAAACTTAAACATTTGTGAAATAAATTATTGAATAAATGAAATAAACTATTTAAGAAGAAATAAGAAGAGGAGAAAAAGAAACTTTATAAGCTCCCTAAAATCGGTTTAAATCTTTTTTCAAGAGGGTTGCTGTTTAATATTTTAAAAGCTCTCACAACACCTATAATACCTTTAAAAAAGAAGAGTGTGATGTAATTTATTATAATAATTATAACATATACTCATACTGCACATTCTAACTGTGCATTGCCACTGTATGTGACATGGCCTTGTAGCAATATAGGTGGGTGGGAGTGAAACACCATTCTCTCAGCCTGAACAGCTCCAGACCTGTAGACAGGGAAGGCATGTCAACCTGCTTATCTGCTCTGTTCGCTGGGAAGGGAAATACATGGTCTGAGAGAGAGAGAGACAGTGAGCAACAGAGAGAGAGAGAAAGTGAGAGAGAGAAAGAGAGAGAGAGCGCAACAGATTGAGCAGCGAGAGAACACAACCCTTTTATCAAACCAGCAGGAGTCGCCTGCCGCTGAAAACAAGGGACAAACAGTTTAAGCTGAGCAAACAAACAGAGCTGATTGGCTGGCGGCCTGCACAGGCTGTGCAGAGATAGGGCCTAACTCTCCGCTCCAAAATATTGACACCATATCTGTTATGTAAGTGTGTTCAGGACACAGGGGTCTGATGGAGGGCCAAGCCACTCATGAATATAAAACCGTACTTCAGGCTACGGATTTCATAAACAGCTTACAAGCCGAGAGGCTGAGGACACATTTCTACATGCGCCATACACGCTTCTGCACACACCGTGTGGAGAACAGGAGCTGGAGGGCTGGACAGAGGTCCAACTGAACATGTACAAGCGGCAAGTGTGTGTCTGGTAGCAGTGTGTCTAAGAGTCGCTGGTTTGAAGTCACTGTCTGAGAAAGGACCAGGCTGGTATCCTTTTATCAAAGGTCACTTGCTGCTGTGCAGCTCCACTGAGTA